ACGTCGGTGGTCCGCGCCCTGACTCGTGGCGAACAGCGAGCAAAGTGACGCTGCCACGCTGCTAGTTTGCTTGCTTGCTTGCTCGCTTGCTCTCTCTTGCACTACCTAGTACGACCAAGGGCACCTAGCCACGGCAAGTATCCGTAGTCTCTGCAGGCTCTCTCTCTCCACGTCCGTGGTAAGTTTAAGGCGCCGCTGTCCAATAACCCGAGGGCTTGGAGGCCAATCATCCCTCCACTTTGTGACTTGACACCGCTGCATGGCCGTCCGCCGGTCAGGTTCCATGGTGCATGTGTGTGCTGAAAATAGGTGAAATAATGTATGCGTAAAGGTAGTTTGGAGTTACACGGTGACACCTACGTGAAGTCCGTAGTAGGAAAAGACACCGCGCACATCGCCGTCCCGTCCGCAACTACACCACATCACGCAAAGCCGCATCTGCGCTACCTTGTGGTATCGGTCATCCTCCGAGCCCAACGCACCACCAAAAACTCAACCGCCAAAACACCACACAGCAAAGGCCTACCATCTTTTCTTGTTCTTTTTTGTTTCCCACTCCGGTCTCCTCTTCCTCAAACTCTCTCCATCTACGGGTCACAATCTCCACTATCGTTCCTACTACTTGCTACCTCTTGCATGCTCCTCCTGCTGGAGAACGGAGGCGGGCGGACTGGAGAACCACATCTCCTCTTTCTATTATACGGCCGGTCATCTTCCTGAGGATGCTGCAACTCAATGATCCACACAACGACGTGCCGGGCCTTCGGCGGAATCTCACCAAGCGCAATGGGCCGACGTCCATATGTGCAGGCGCACCGCCGCCGTCATCGCACACCTGGTGCTGCTGCTGCTGCTCCTCCTCCCATGCCGTTGCCGCTCCCCGTCGTGGTTACAGTTGCGGATGACAGAAACCCCGTGTCGTCGGTCTTGTCGCCAGTTTGTTCACGCGAGGAGAAGGATTCATCCCTTCCATACCATTCTGAGCCCTCAACCACCCCTGGTCCTCTGGAGTCTCATCAACTCCTCATCAGCAGTAGCAGCAGTGCCAGCAGTAGCAGCAGCTTCTCACACCTCTTCACCTCCACCGGGGCCTTCTCATCTCTTACACATAGGGTCGCCCTCACCATGCTACAAACCAAGCCCATCCTCCAGGCCCGTTCCACCCTCCTCCATCACATCAAATCCATCATGGCCCTCCTCCAACCCATCATGGCACCAACTGCACGGCACAATGACGACAAGTTGATATCTAGAGTCGTCGCCGCCAGCACCACTCCTGCGCGGCGGAGGCTGACTCTCCCGGAGCGGATCCCCCGCGGCGCGTGGGACTCACACATGCACGTCGTCGACCCGGCCGCTTACCCCTTGGCAAAAGACGCCGTCTACTGCCCCAAGACGCACCGCCTCGACCACGCCCTCGCCTTCGAGTCCTCTGTCGGCATTGACCATATCGTCCTCGTACAGCCATCCATCTACGGCAACGACAACACCTGCCTCCTCGACGCCCTTCGTGCCCTCGGCCCCCGCCGCGGGAGGGCGGTGGTGGCTTTCGAACCCGGCAGCCTGTCTCAGAGCACCCTAGCAGAGTGGCACAGGCTCGGTGTAAGAGGCGTCCGGATCAACCTCTCCTCGGTGGGCAAATCGCTCAACGCCATGGAACTCGACTCGTTACTCCGTCGATATGCCCACGACTGTAAGCCTCTGGACTGGGTGATACAGGTATACATGCCCATGTCCATGATCGACCTGCTCGAACCCATCGTCCCGACGCTCGGCGTGAGAGTTTGCATCGATCACCTCGGACATCCTAGCATCAAGGACATGCCGTCACAAAATCCGTACGATATGAAGGGCTTCAAGTCCCTGGCCAAGCTGCTCCGAGCCGGAAACACCTACGTAAAGTTATCGGCGCCGTACCGGCTGAGTTCAAAGGCCGACCATAGCGATCTAGAGCCGATTGCGCGAGAGGTGCTCCATCTACGTGGTAAAGACAGAGTCATCTTTGCGACCGACTGGCCGCATACCCGGTTCGAGGGGTTGGATATCCGGCCCTGGATGGAAACGGTGCTTGACTGGTGCAGGAAGGACGATGTTCTGGTTGACAGGTTATTCAGGGGCAACGCGGAGGAACTATGGAATGCCCGTCACAACAGATGATGCATCGCATCAGCGATGTATTTTTGCTTGGCTTACCCTTTGGAGGAGCCTGCATTTCTTTTTACTAGCATAGCGTTGTTGCATGAGCTGCGTGGCTTTCTGAGCGACTCATTGCAGAGCAACAATTACGTCGGCTTTCGACACAACACGATTTTATGATCATGAAAAAAAATAGAATACTTTGTAATGATGGTCTTGGCCAAAATCAATTTTTTGCTCCGTCACACCATCCGTATGATCTGGTGACGTGGTGTTTTACGGTGTGGTCCTTCAGGCTCAGCTTTCTGTGTAAGTGCGTGATTACGATAGTCTCAACTAATACGGAAGTTACCACAACTCTAGAATAAGGTTTCCTATGTTGATAACTTGGTTTTACACTACTACAACTCTCTCCATCCCCGCAAGTCTAATCAAAACAACGTACAACGTATGAGTAAACCTAGCACATACTACCCTAAGGCAACGAGCTGATCGTCCTTCTTCCAACTCATAGAGGCTGGAGCGCTGACTCTAACCACCACCAGCCCCAGTTTCTAAAGACGAAATGACAACTTGAGGGGGGGCGGCAGCACCGCCAAACCCTGAATTTGGAAAGAGACGGCCCGATAGTTCGGTGTTGTGTCCGCTCCTCTCGGACGCGGGGCTGGTGGGGCCGCATCCCCAATTCTGAAATACGGCGTCGAAGAGATCGAGAGGAGACACTGAGCCAAAGAATCTTGGATATGCAGTGTCTTTGAGAAATTGGTAATCCGATGATATGTCCATCTAAGGTACTTGTATTTCCTAGCCGAAGACCGCAAGATCGACAACCATGCATGTTTCAAAGTGTCTAGGTCGACTCTCGATACGCAATTCTCGCATCTAAGCAACTGGCGGCCCTTGTACCTACTTTCGTAAACCGGGGTTTGACACTGCATGCCCGCTTGCCGTCACCGCCGGCGAGGAACAACGCCACTTCGGCGAACGCATCTCTCGGACTGCAAGGTCAACGAAGCAGCCCGTCCTGGAGGGGTTCTAGGTCGGTGACGACTGGTAGGGCCGGGGGCGGCTCCACTCGCGGACGTGGGACCGATTCTGGTGCAAGTCCGATTCTCGAGCCTACTAGAGTTGAAAAGGGCATGGTGGCTGGAACTTTTGCCTGCGGTCCTTCCTGAAAGCACGTCTTTTTTTTTTCTCTCGTGGCAAAGTCTTATTAGGGGCCATGGGCCACGGTCTAGTAGAATCACAGTTGTCACGGTGGGTGACCGACGTGAGTTGTTTTGCGGCATCTAGGCGGGATGATTTAGACCGAGGACGTGTAGCTGCGGATAGCACGGCTCGCGGTGGGCATATGGGATGGGGAATAATGTCATCAGTCATATTAGAGATAAGCTAGCTTGAGTGTGTGTTCATTGGCTGTTTCTTACTTGGTGCGAAACCGATCTTTCGCGAGCAGCAGCTATTAGGTATTTGACACTTCTGAAGCAATCATCATCTCAAAACATAAGATGATTGTAGATTCGATAGAGACAAGGAAGAAGTCCGGATAGACACGCTCGACTTCTATTCTTAACCCCACACAATGCCCACGGGGGGTTCTCAAAGCAGCAAAATGACCCCGGATTTCCCAAGCGGCCGGTCAAATTTGCCGGATATGTACGGATATCAGTATAATGAATCCTACTGCAACGTCCCCCAGCTGTCAATCGTCTTGGCCCGCCACCAACGCCCGACTTCCGCAGATTGTATGACAAGAACTTCCCGAGTTCCGGTCCACTGGGAACTATTGGAAAGAGGAGGGAGAGATGAGAATAAACATCCAAGGCTGTCAAATCGGGTAACAAGAGCCTCTGAGATACGAATGGAACGACACTCTAATGTACCTTAGGCTTTCCCCAGCTGGGGGACGGGAGAAGGCTTGTTCTTGGCCCTGTTGACTCGTGTGTCTCGATAACCCTCCACATGACCCCCGGGGAAGTGTGAGCTTTGCGGGGACGGAATCGTTTCAAAATCGAACCTGGAGATGGTGGCAACGGATTTCTACCTGGTATCCATCGTGTCCACTGATAGCCGCAACAATAGCAAAAGTGAAATGTTCTTCCTCGAATTGAAGTTTGATACGAGAATCCTACCTCTGCGGTTGAATTTTCACCCTTCTGCCCATCTTACACCTCTTTCGAAAATTACCAGATACCCCTCCTCCGCCGGATCCCACAATGACTCTGACAAGGGCCCCCATAAGACGTTTCCCCTCCTCCCCACAACCCTTTTGCGGATCCCCTCCCCTCCATCCGAGGCATGAACGAATCGTTGAGACCTGATCCCCCAGGCCGTGCAGCTGTCCATCGCCGAGAGGGCATCTGCAAGTGCGGGCTGGGACTGCACGTGGGCGCAGCGTCGGTTTTCTTGATGATCACATTATCAGACAGGGCTGTAGAGCAATCTTGATCATCGTTGTCTGAGGGCCTTACCTAGTTATCGATGACTTGGCGACACTGGTCACAGTGTGTAGTCTATATTGAAACATAACTATACTTACAAATTGGTGCTTGCTCTACCAACTTGGTTGGCAGTTGTTGATAAGTATACTTAATTTTGCGAAGGAACTGGAGAGACGAGTAACTGACAATATGCTGTTGGTATGCCTGGTTTGTGCCTCTGCCTCTATATGAAATACCGTTGTTATTGGTGATTCTCGAATAGGGTTGCACTGACGGACGTGCCGATAGAGTACCTACCGCAAGCAACTTAAAACTTGATTTCTGACCTAGAACACCTGCCATAATATCGACAACTCCAATCTTGAAGATACCTGTCACTTGCGCATTCATCTACGAATCCTTTATACGATTGACAAAAGGGAATGCCCCCTCACGGGATTGAACCGTGGACCTTCGCATGAGGTATCCAAGTACGAGTGCGACGCTCTACCACTGAGCCAAAGGGGCTTGTTCAAGCTGACATAATGAAGGTTAAGTTGTGACTAACACGGTAGTAGCTTCCGCCAGCGAGCTCTCAGTCGTGTGCTGCAATTCAGTCAGTTACAAGAGTCGCTCAACGTCGTAGTTTGCAACGGAAAGCCAGAAAGGCCATCGCCATATCAAGCACCGGTCTCACCGTCTACTCGGTAGACTTCCATCCATCCCGGCCCCGGACTATCGCCGACAGTAACCCTAGAGAACAAGCTTTCCTTCGTCTCTTCTATCCGCACGAATACCCTCAGTCCCTCGGTCCATGTCCGCGATAACAACCTCGGCCATTCCCCGTTGGCGTTGCCGGTAAACCGGAGGTATCCACCATGCACCATCGAGTATCGACACATGGCGCGCACATCAAAATATCCATAATCTCATCCGCCCACGGGCGTCTCGGCCAGAAAGAAAAGAAGTTGCGCAGAAGAGTGTCCACTTTGCGGTCCTCTTTTCAGAATCGTTACTCACCGTCCAACCTCGCGCAAAGTTACGATACACTCAGCCTTTAGGCTTTACAGCGAGACTAACAGCGAGCATTATGTGAGAATCTTCTGCTTTTCGGGCCCTTTCACTTTGTTTCTCCATGGAAGTACCCGTGAAGCATCGTCCCCCCTGGCACCGTGCGCAAAATCTTGTTTCTCACTAATCCTAGGCGAATGCTAGCCAAACTGAGCATTAGAAGAAGAAAAAAGCCGTTTCCATTTTTATCCTGTCATCGCAACCCACGAAACTTGGCAAACTCACTCACGCATTTCCATATGTTCAAACCGGCCGGGACCTCAAAACACCATCCTCGGTAAATGTCCCGTGAACCCCCCCTCCCCCCTTCCTCTGTGGAGTATCAAACGCCCACAACGTCGGAACGTCGTTCCGACTTATTCAACCTCGGACCCTGGCCGTGTAATCGTACGGGTTACGGGAACCGTCTGATCCATTCATCCAGAGAACACCACACCACAGTTTCGGTACGACTGGTTCTCTTTTCATCCTCCCTACCCAGGTCCAAACGCGTCAGAGCATTTCCTAAAAATGGAAACCAACTCACTACTAGGGAATTTAGTGAGTGAGAAGGATGAGTGAGAGACAGATGCGAGAGGAACGGTACATGCGCACAAGACCACACCCGGCTCTACGTCTAGGACCCCGGCACTTCGGCCCTCCGGCTCTGATGATACCCCGAACGACATCCGCTCGCCCAATGAATCCAACATCCCATTACCGCCATGTCGCAAATGCCACATGTCAAACCTCTCCCCCGTGGTCCCTAGGCTACTCGATTCACAGGCTGGCTGGCTCTCCCCATGTAACCTCCGGACGCATCTTGCATATACGCGCTAGCCCCCCCAGATTTTCCCATGAACGGAAATCCAGAACCCATCCATAACCCTTTCCCTTCCCATCCCACTTCCTCCGCTCGCTCGATCGCTCACTCATCTGTACTCCCACACCCCTCCAGAGACTTTGACCTGCAGTCCTTCATCATACGAACCACTCTCTGCACGCGATCTTCCATTGCTCACACAGCCCGGAAGTTGGCCGAGAAGCACCCGCGAACCTTGACACGCTTGAGAACCTTTTGTCAACCAAAATGAGGGGCAGATCACTTTGCGTATCATCAGATCACCGCCCTCATCACGGTCAAACCCCCGTCTAAACCCGCCGAGCCTAGCCGTACCGATGATCAAACGCCGATGATCATCGTCGACGTGGCGGAGGACGCGCCGAGCCGGGCCCAGCTTACACAGCCCTCCCGACGCCAGTTCCTACTCCAGTCGCCAGTTGCTCCAGCTTTGAAGTGATCAACTTCCTCAAGGAGAGAAAAGCCCTCACGGAAAAGTGACCCATCTACACCCATCTCCACGGATACGGTCTCCAAACCATCCTTATCCATACACCATCGATAAGATCGCCAAGGAAAACCAATATTTCCCAAGATGTCGACTCTACCCATCAACTTTGGCTCAACCCGGACGATGCCCGAGACCCTCAGACACCAATTCCAAAAAAGCATCGCCGTCACAACCAGACGAGAGACGAGATAATCCCCCCCCCACGTAAAAAATAAAATGAAAAAAATGGCAAACCGCTCTGAGCTCCTCCCTCCGGCCAACCCAAAAAACTGGCCCAGTTCGGAACATGCCCGAGTGGAGCCCCCTCTCGACGCTCATCGTCCAGGCCCCGGGTGACCGTGCAGCTTCCTCAACCACTTTTTTCCAGCCGGTCACTCTCCGGGCCTTCGGGGGAAAAGATGGGGTATCGCGCGCAGGAAATGGGCCGATGAAGGCCGGTACGACCAAAAATCGGGGCTTTCTTTTTTGGCCGCGAACGGTGGACCATGGGGGGGGGGGGGCGGTAAAGCGAAAGAGGGTCTGTGATTGCTCGTTATATCATGACGGCATTCCGGGCTAAAGAGAGGAAATGGAGTGACGAGTGACGACGACACGAGACGCCAAACGCGAAGGAGATTGCCGACCTTCACCGAGGTTTTTTTTCCAGTTCAGTATTGAGGCGAGACCTAGCTCTGAACCAGACTAGATCAGATCAGATCAGATCAGATCATTGCCCATTCAATGGAGCAGTCCGGCGTCTTGACCAAGATCGTGGCGGGTGGTGTTGCGGGGGTTTCAGAAACGCTTGTCACTGTGAGTGGAAGGTCTCATCATCCATGTTCCTCGGGGTGGCTAAACATGGAACACGTGTATTGCGTCGACGCAGTCACTCGCGCTCACTTACACTCTCACTCACACTCACTCTCACACTTACACTATCACACTCGCTCACTCTCACCCTCTATACACAACCTGCAAACATATCGGACCCGCCTTGAAGACACGCATGAGATGAACAAGCATACAGATAAACTCTCTAACACCAAGTCTCTTCACGACAATGTAGTACCCAGCCGAATACGTAAAGACACGCCGCCAACTATATTTCAAAGCCACCGCCAACGCAGCAACCGCAAAAGCCAGCCCGCCGCCCAGCTCCCTCGCCATCATCCGCGACACAGTCCGCACCTCGGGCGTGAGGGGCATCTACTCGGGCGTCCAAGCCCTCGCGGCCTCCAACGCCGCGAAATCCGGCATCCGGTTCCTCGCCTTTGAAACCACGCGCTCGAAGCTCGATGCCCTCTCCGGCTCGGAATCTCCGGCATCAGGAGGACCGGGATCGGGAAGGAAGCCCCGCGCGGCGTGGATCAACGTCGTAAGCGGTCTCAGCGCCGGCGTAGCAGAGTCCATCGCCGTCGTGACGCCAGGCGAAGCCATAAAAACCAAAATGATCCACGCCGCCGCCGCCGCCACCTCTTCCTCATCCCCTTCCTCATCCGCCGCCGGATCCGCAAGCAGCCAACTCGCAAACCGCGGCCTCATCAGCGCCGTCAGGATCCTCATCCGCGAAGAAGGCATCCGAGGCCTATGGAGCGGCTTGACGCCGGTACTCTGCAAGCAAGGAACCAACAGCGCAGTCCGCTTCACGACCTTTGCTATGCTCCAGGAGCGCGTGGCGGCGCGGTGGCCTCAGCTGGAGGGCGGCGTCGGGAGTACCCTCGTCTTGGGCGGGGTGAGTGGCGTGTTTACGGTGTATGCGTCGATGCCGTTTGATAATATCAAGACGAGGATGCAGAGCGTGCAGAGTGCCGATGCGCGGTATGCTGGGATGGTGGACTGCGCTGCGAGGATTCTGAGGAGTGATGGGGTTTTTGCGTTTTGGAGGGGCACGTCGCCCAGGTTGGTTCGGTTGACTGTAAGTTTGTTCCTGTGGCTGGGAGTGATATTGAGAGGATGTTTGGCTAATATGAGTATGTACAGCTTTCGAGCGGCATCACGTTCACGGTCTATGATCAAGTGGTGCGTCTGATGAAATCGTCGCAAACAGAGCGCAAAGCCAGCGACCTACAACGCCTATAGAGAAAGCCAGAACGTCGCGAAACAAGTTGTGGCGGAATCTTTCTTTTTTTGTTCTTTTCATTTGTTCGTTTGATTTTGGTAAGTGATTCTTTTTGATGCATAAATCGAATGGCCTTCTGCTTGCTTTGTTTTTTGTGCTACTCATCTATCGCGCCGACTCTGACGCTCAACGGTTCTATAGAAGACATGGTCTGGAAGACCTGCGGATCAATGGCAAAGGCCTCGGGGCCGAGTGTGTCGACAAAGGGGAAGTTGTAAATTTGCTCGGGGGAGCTGGTGGCCTCCGGGCCGGGCGGTACAGACGCCGGGGGCATGTTGTTCTCGGCGCCGGCGCCGGCGCCGTGGCGGCTCTGCTGCGGGATGCCGTATGTTGCCATGGGCGGCGTCGCGGCCGTCTTAGGTAGGCCGAGGGCGCCGATGTCGATGCCTAGGCCGACGAGCTCGCGGGTGATGAGGTTGAGGGCGCTGCTGATGACTGGTGGGCGGGGTGTGGTCAGTCAGAGTTCAGGACTCAAAGTTGCATCTTGCCCCCCTCCGACTGGAAAATGTCCAAGGGGGATGCGGGGATGCTTCAAGGTCTTGACTCACCTGGGTTGATACGCTTCACGGACGCCAGGATACGGACGCAATACTCCAGCCTGCGCAGCGCTTGCGTGTCCTCGACGCTGGACTGCACCTGGAGGAGGAAGATGGACGCCGCAATGTACACGCTATACGAAAGGGAGAGCACGCAGTGGCTGATGCCGAAGGAGCGGCAGAAGAGGTCAAAGATGGCGATGATGCCCGTAGCCGAGGTCACGCACTCGCCGAGGTACCGCTGCACCGGTTGCAAGTTATCGCCTACCCTTCCTCGCTGTGACAGCATGGGTCGGTATAGGAGGATCTTGAAGGTGCGGTAGAGCACGCTGGGCGAAAGTTTCCGATATCAGCATTTCTCTCTCACTTCAAAAACGGGGACGACCCTCCGTCGAGGTGAACGGCAGAAATGGACCGGACTTACTTCAACGTTATGATATGCGACGGCGGCGCCAGGGCTGGGAGAGCCGTAGGTTCGATCTTTAGGTGCGGAGGCAGCTCATCCCACCACTGCCGCAGAGCAACTTCTTGCTTGGCGAGACAGTCCTGCATCTCAGCCTGGCTGTTGGGCCGCACGGGGTCGTACATGTGGACGAGGATCTCGTTGAAAGTTATCGAGAGACGGCACATTTGCATGAAGCACGAGGTGGAGTGCGCCGCCGCGGGGGGATACTTCCAGCCGCCTTCCGGTACGACGCCAAAGGGCGTCCACGACTCATTCTCGGCCGAGTCGTCAACTATTATCTCGCCAGTCAGCACATACACACACACACACACACACTTCAGAGCTCTCCAACCGGGACAGAGGAAAACATACACATAATCTGCGGCGGCGACACAGACGTCTGCTGCAACGAAGGCGAGCGCCCGAGATACAGACTAATCATCTTGTCCCAAAAATAGCAACTCCAAAAAAGCCGGTGGCGGATCTCGACGTCCTCGTCCGCGAGCTGCACGGAACCGGGGTACCGCTGCCCGTCGACGCATATGCCGAGGTGGTCGATGATGCGGAATGCGAGGCCGCTGTACGTCCAGGCCTGGGCGCTATTGCCTACGCTGCACTCCTGCGCGCTGAGGAGCAGGAGGGTCTGGACGGTGGGGATGGAGCAGACGCCCTGGCTGAGCTCCTCAAAGACCATGCTGCGCGCGTGCTTGCCGAAGAGGGCGCCGCCATCGTAGAACTCTTCGAGTTTATCTTTTGTGGCCGGGTCGCTTCGCCCCCAGCGGATGGAGTGGGAGAGGACTGCGTTCATGAGGGTGTGGGAGTAGTATGGCCCTAATGTCTGCATGTCACCTGCGAGAAGTGGTCAGTTTGTGTGTGCAAGGAGAAGAGTGAAGGAGTGTCCCCACGAGTAAAGGCAGGTCTGTAGATGAAGTTGAAGAGAGGTTGGATCCAGCACCAGTGGACGTTGAGCAGATATTGGAACGGTTCCTAGACGAGGGTCAGATCAGCTTACATGTCACGGCATGCAGTTGGCCAGGGTTTAGAGGGAAGAACCATACCGGTATATCGGACATGTTCTCGAGCGCCCTCTGCTGCCAGGCGTTGGCCACAAGCCTCTCACGCCTCTGCATAGCCTGATCAGATGTCGAATGCTGGTCCCTGGAGCCGGATGGCCTATCACTCGGCAGCTGGAAGAAGCTCGTTGAGCCATGATAGGTAATGGCGCCCTTGTCGTCGACCTTGAGGCCCTTGAAGCTCTCGCTTACGGACTCTTCATCCTGCGACTCAAAGTGGTGAGGATCCGTCATGGGCGACTGGCCCGCTGACGGCCCGATACTGGGCGACGACGTCCGGGAGGGCTCCGAGGGTCCTGCTCCCGCTCCCGCTCCGGATGGCGCATGAGCTCTCGCAGCGGCAAGCTGTGCTTCTAGTTCCTTTATGCGATGCTCCAGCCGTGACGTGTATGACAACGTCGGGTTACTTGTTTGTCCGGCATGGTCAGTATGTTGGACAAGAATCGCCGGGATGTAGGGGGAAACATGAAGGATCCAGGCTGCAGGTGAGATCGGGGGTAGTTTGGCAAAAAGGGAAAACTCACAGTTTATAGACGCACTCATCCGCGCGGGCAGCACACCGATTACATGTCGGCTGCTCTCCGCCACATTTTACCTGCCGTCAATCCCCGCGTCAGCATCAGGTCAGGCCGTCATATTCGGATCCGTTCGCGATACCGACGTGCCGGAAGTTGTGCATGATGTCCGTCGCCCCGATTCGCTCTTCCGCCCGCCCTTCCGTGCCGTGATGCCGTTCCACACCCTTCCTGCCCCCAACCCCGTCCTCTTGGGAGTCGATCCCCCCCCCCCCCAGCCATGTAGTGTATCCCGAGCCTGGTTACCTCAGGCAGGATCATCAAACATTGACTGAGCCTCCGCTACCCTCCGCGGATCCGAGTGGTGGGCAGGGGTACGGGTTGTGGCGCGGAATGCGGGAAATGAGGCGCACCACGGCGGAGGGGTGGTGGTGGTGGTGGTGCGGCTTGCCGAAGAGAGACAAACAAGGTGGGGGATAAGAGAAAGGACTCAAAAGCGCGCGCGCGCGAGAACCTTGGATAAAGAGAAAGAAACAGAGACAAACGTACCTTGCGACGACGACATGGTTCGCACGAAAAGGCGCTCTTCTTGATGGCCCTCGTGGAGGACATGGTGATGTTCCATGGGCTAATTTTCTGCCTTGCCCTCTGCTGTTTGCGCCTGGTCTGAAGTGGTTCCCACCCGAAGTTGATGCGGGACGGAAGAAAGTTGAACTTTGGGCCCTTGCTGTGGAGAAATGCAATACCTAAGGTAGCGAGATCGGGCTGGGCTGTGGTCTTCTTGATGTTCCCAACGGATATGTGCGCTTGCAATTGACCATTTCGACTGCCCGCCCTGCGACCTCAGTGGAGGACTGCGTGAGGTGACTTCCATTGGGGGCTTCGGCCGGGTCGGGAAAGTCGGGAATCGCGGGACCGGGCCCCACTCTTCAGCACCTTCTCTGCTAATTTTCCGCCCTAAGGCCAACTGTGACGCGCCTGAGACGTCCCATGAGCGAATCAGGATCCATCGCGATAGTCTTTTGGCCAATCGATAGCCTCAGCCTTGACTTGAGGGTCCACTACCTTACCTTAGGTACTTGTTCTCTTGGTCAGCGGCTTTCCCCGATACGTCTCTCCGATAATCGCCCCGCCAAGGTACGTACAGTGGATCTTCCATTTTTCACCGAGCTTCGGTCTCGCGGTCTCCACCTCGCAAGGTGTATACATCCTTCACCGAGACACCGAGATGGTAAAGAACCTCGAGCACACCCTCCTTGCATTCCCAACCTCTAAATGCACTTCCCACCTTCCACTTCACTTCACTTTCTGAGCCTCGTGAGATGCACAAACACTGCAAACAAGGCCTTTTATCTTCGCAGATATGGCAGAAGGGCAGCAGCTGGGGTCCAGACAGCCGGGCACGCCAAGACCTTGCTGCGCCGTAAGATTGCAGCAGAGACCAGACCTCGAATTGGGACTGGTCTCGGGACCTCTCTCCTTCTTGATCGAGACTCGGCTGGAAAACGCGTGCTTTATATACAAACCTCACAGCCCGAAATCAATATGAGCCGAATTGAATCGTCGTCTCTACTTCAACACCTCCGACTGCTGCATAAATCCATCGTAGTCCGCATTATCATCAGCTCTTGTCCAGTTTGGAGCCCCTGTAAACGCACCACAGTCTCGCCATGGCCACCTCGACGATAGCCTCGTCTCCCACGCGCTCCCCACCATGGTCAGCCACTCCAGCCCGCGAATGTCTCATTCCCCGCGAAACAATCCGCTCAAACTCTTACTGCGGTTTCTACGCGACATCGTGGGGCGGGTGTCCCTCCGGCTATGCCCCGGCTTGCAGCGCGGCCGTGGACACAGCCGACCCCTTTGTATCGAAGCGGACGGTGACCGACGGAGGCCAGGCAACCTTGACATATGAATGGTGGCTGAAGAGCCACTCCCAAGTGATATGCTGTCCAGGGTAAGAAAAGCGACCCTTTGCGACGGGAAGAGATACTCAAGCACGCATGGTCCACGATCTTCTTTTAACACAAAACGCACCTACTAGCACAATGCCTTGGTCGTGTACGTCCGCCACCGGCATCGATCCAACAGCCTGGCCAAGGGAACCAACAAACTGCATCTTCACCACGGCCGCCGGTATCTTCACCTCCAATCCGGCCCAAACCCTCTATGCCTACGGCATAACCTACTCCGTGGAAGTACGCGAGTCCGTAGCATCCACCAAGAGACTGGCCAACTACGAAACATCCTACTTTGGAGACGGGAAACCTACCAGCGAGGTCTGCGACGAAACTTCCTGCAGCGGAGCGTTCACGGTGCCAACGTCCACGTCCACCTATCCCTCCTACCCGTACCCGACGGCTACGCGCGGAGACGCGGCGGCGACGGACGGACCGTTCGTCTTGCAGCCGCCGGAGAAGATGGGACAGCTCGGCCCGCTGGCCATTATTGCGATTACGGGGTTGATCGGGGCCGTGCTACTGACGGTTGCGCTCCTGTCTCCTTTCATGGGTGAGTATTTCCGACGCAAGGAGGGGCAGAAACAGTTGCGGAGAGTAGATACCCAGTAGCCGAATGTGGTCAAAACATGATGAATATGATGAGAGTGGGGCGTTTTTTGTGTAGAAAGTGGTTTTGAAATTCTGAATTAAAGGTGTCTTCTTTTTCGCTGGTGGGTATCTCTTCATGTGGTTTTCTCAAGCAAAAATGCAATGGGCGCCAAAAGTCAGTACCTCTGTACGCTGCCCCCGAAATGCAAATCCAGTAATCCAGTCCCCTGTGCTCATAACGCCTCGCCAAATAGACCGCTCAAAAGCGTTTAAAAAATAAATAAAAAATCGCCAGAGGATGCTTTGATGCATTACACCTGCATCATCTCACTTTCATGCCGCGTCCTGTCGTTGGTGAATTCGAACCAGGCTCGCGCAAGCAGACCAAACTCGGACATCCTAGTGGGGAAAGGTTAGCATCAATGAACAGTATCATGAAAGGGAGTGACATGATGGTTGGGTGAGAGATGAAGAGTGAAGATGAGATGCCGCTGGGTGAGAGGGTTGGCATGAGATTGAGAATGAATGTGAGAGTGGGAGTGAAGATGTCGTATGAGAAAAGGTAGCTTGACTTACATAATGAGTCCTAGCAGGAACGCCAGGGCGGCCTCGTACTGAATATACGGGTACGCGTAGTACCCGTTAGACTTCTTCGACTCGATCTGAATGACGAGCAGAATCCAGCAAATGGTGGTGCCCAGCGTGAAACACAACTCCATGCCAAAGTGGAAATGCTTCGGGATGCCGCTCCGGTGAGCGTCCCTCTTGCGCCAGATGACGGTGATGAGCGACCAAATGAGAAGAATACATGACTGTGAGATGGTCAGCCAAGTCCTCAGATATCGTGACGTTCTCATGTATCTTCAACACAAGCCTAAGCACAGAAACTCACAATCGGTACAGACAGCCACAGGCTGTAGAAAATAGGATCCGCCGCACTCGTAGAATCATTAAGATACTTGCCCCTCCGCGAGCAGTAAATATTGATATTCAAAAAGATGACGACCAAAGGCACAATGATGGCGAGCTGGCGCAGGACGTAGTACATGTACGTGCACCGCCTCCTCTTGCGGTTGAAGCGCTCATTCTCGGGTGACTTGGCGCTTCCGCTTGATCGACAACTACGGCCACCGACGCCGGGCTGTTGGCCGTACCAGTACTGTTGTTGATGTTGCGAGATGCTCCGCGACGATATCGATGCGGCGTCGTCGTTGTTGTAGTAGTATATCTGCGTGACCTGCTCGTCGTTGGCGTACATTTGGCCTCCTGGCGGTTGGTTGTATCCCTGGCTGTAGGGCGGCGCGGAGTAGCCCTGGTGGGTGTAGGCGCCGTTTTGGAGGGACATGGCGGGCAAACTGTCTGTAGGTCGATGGATGGATGGATGGCTCTGTAGGTTTTCCCTTTTTCCTCTAATCCCTTTCTTTTACTCCGTCTCTAATTCCCTCCTCGGTTTGTGCGTAGAAGTCGTCTCTCGAGATCTTCTTCAATGGGGAACTCCAAGCGCGGAATCAACACCACATGCAATGGCTTTTTGACGCAGGCATGAGGGGACTTTAATATGGAGACGTAAGTGAGTGAGTGGTGCGTGAGTGAGCGACTGAGTGGACGTCTGAAAAAGGCTCCGAGTGGCACGGAAGAAGTGCGAGAAGGCTGAAGAAATCGGATACCGAAAGGAGCTCACACGCCGGAATATGTACGGCGGGCTTCAAGAGATCATTTTAGTCTTTCTAAGGCGTGGGTGTGTGAAAGGGTAATGAAGGATATGAAAAAAGCCCAGAGACCGCCGAGATGCTCTAATTGCGCCTGACCCTCTCCCAAGAAAAGACCGAGAAAAACTCAAAACAGGAGGGCGAAAATAAGAGTCAAGACCTTCAAGGAAGGAAATGGGGGGCAGCAGAAAAGAAAAAGGTGCTGTGTGGCCTGGTGAAGCCTGGGCATTCGGCCTGGGCAGCAGAGAGGAACAAGGAGAATTAGAATTTACTCCTGTACAAAAAATACACACACCCAAGCACACATGAGAGTCTTGGCATTCTGGCACTCTGTACTCTGTGAGAGACTGGAGAGGTCTCAAATGTGCTGCTCGCCAAGTCGCGCTATCAGCTCACTGACTCCAGAATTGGCCACAGAGGCCGTCTTGGCCCGCCTAGGCTTGTAGGGGCGGGGGGGATACCCATTCACATTTTCACGATGATGTTGTCTTGGCGGGGCTTGGCCCCCTGGGCAACAGTTCCTTGGAGCTTGGGGGAAGGCCTGGGAGGGGCGTGTCCCAGCTTGAGATTCACTTTGGTGACTTTTGTCCAGTTCATCCCTTGGCACACACAGCCGTGGCAGCGAAGGGGGTGTTTTGCCAAGACACTGCCAGTAGAACAGAGCGGCCAGCCACATGCTGGAGTACCTTGGGAGGGTGAAGTAGCAACGCCCTGTCAGTCTGCCAGAGGCTGTTTGTTCGGTTATAATTGTCGGGATAAGGGGGGTTTGTTGTGCGCTTGGGAGATGTTACAGCCAAACCCGCCAAGAAGGCTGCGGCCTGCCGCTCTCCCACCAAGCAGAACTCTCAGACTGACAGGGCAGACTCTAAGCTAGGCCCCCAAGACTCTCAGGACCGCAGGCGCCGAGAGGGGAACGGTGAAGGAGTGACATACGCTGGCCTAGCCACCTAGCCTCCTGGGCAGCCCGCTGAGCCGGCGCTATAGGTCTTGTGGTGTCTTGGTAGTTGAGGTTATCAGTATTCCGTAATTAGGTAGCACAGAAGCACAGTACCACAGTACCTAGTACAGAAGCACAGGCTTCCCAAGTTATCGAGTCTGGTGCTGCTGAGCACTGCGGGCAGAGAGCTCTCGCTGCCAAGAGACTTGGGAATTCTTGTCTCGGGCGCGATAGTCTGACTTGTCGTAAAGTGATAAGGTGGCAGTCGAGTGGTGAAATTTCGCCATGCCTTTTGGCGCGCCTGTCCGACTCGGCATACCTCAGCAGCGCCGTGACCGGTCCAATTTCCCATCCCGCCGTGCCAATTGCCATAAGTCTCCTGTCCTCCACCAAGCTTCTGGGCAGCGCGGGAAGAAGTCTCAAGAAACATCAACTTCGTCACTTCGTGATGTGGGAGATTGGCGTTTAGTCATGGATCGCATGGGTTGGTGGTACAGAAAGGATCATCAAAGTTCTGGGCGGGCACTTTTGGCGGCGCAAACGGCCCCTGCGCCCTTGGAAGACCGTAGAGGACTGTGACACACCCCATCCATCTCATCCCATGGGCGCCTTATCTCCTTTCCATCCTGTTCTGTTGGCTGTCATCGAGGAACAATGCGCCCTGCAACCGTCGTGCAGCTCTGCTCCATCTCAGCGCGTACGGGTACCGAGACATTTGCTTTTTTCGCCTGTTTGCAGCAACGGTTCACTCAACGACGCGGGCGTTCGAGACTGAGCTGTCAAAAGTGAGACCGAGACCGAAAGGCTCATCGCTGTGTCTCTCCTTCTTCTCATCTTCATTGCTGGAATTGCAAGATAGCGTGGGCTCGTGAAATGCCACGGCAAAGAAATTGATGAAAAGCAACCATCACGCAGGTAAGTTTCCATCTATCGATACCAAGTCGCTGCCGAGTGAGAAAAGTAAAGAGATGAAATCAACAAAGAGCAAAGAGCAAAGGTTCCCCAGAAACTCTCGTCTAGATTTCCAGGGTCCAATCCAGGGGGTTTGGGGGAGGATGATAGGCACTGGGCATCCGCGCAATCCCTCATTTCCTTTTCCCAAACCTTGCAAAGCTGCCCCGAATTGCTGCTCAAAAGGCTGGCTCAATGATCTATCACGCCAGCCAACAGTGACTGTGCACGCCCAGACACCAAGGAAACATGAGGTATGGCTGGCTTTCTTGGCATGCCAAGCCATCGCGGCAAACCGCGACTCAGGTCATTTCACTCTCACTCAGTGAGTCTGAAGGCTCCTTCACTCACTCACTCAGACCTGTTCGCCTCATTCAAACTTCAATATCGCCTTTACCCGTGCCAGCGCTGATCATCTTGACCGCTTGGCACGGCACGGCAAGCAGGCCACGCCAGGAAAATGACGAGCTTGAAGCCAGTCCCCAGAAGGTGGTATGAGATTGAGGATCATCTCGATAAACTTCAACCACCAAGCCCGCGGGCGCGCTCACCTGATCATTCTCATAGTCTGCGATACCCCACGAGTAAGACATAGTGACTCAGCTTTTCTCCAGCTGATATTCCGGGGGATCGTCGTCGGTTGCTCGACGTCGTCCAAGGACTAGAACGACCAAATGTCCAATACTGAGAGCGATCTGCGGCTGGGCCCGTACGACGGTGCCCAGTAGCTCCGACGAACTTTGAAAGCGTGAAAGCGGTCTCGAACTCTCGATTCGTGCCGGGCAGTCTTGGTGTTTTACTATACAGGTGCACACTATTTGATGCCACGGCTGGGCTTCTTCTTGACCGAACCACAATCAGTCATGCATGGTTCTTGACAATCTCATCAATCGGCGCGGGCGGCCTGCCTTGGTGTTTTCTTGGTGCCAAAACCGCCCTCCTCGGGATCGCATGGTACCGGTTACGCAGCACTACGTCGCTTGCCTTGCCCAGAGCATTGGCGGTGCTTCGGCCAAGGCTGCTCGTCCCACGCAAGGGAAAGGGGGAAAGGGGCGATGGAACAACTGGGAATACCAATGCTGGGCACGCACGCACGCACGCACCGCAAGCACGCAGTAATCGTCGCGGCCGAGTCGGCCATATTGGCGGCTTGGCATTTCTGTGGAGGGGCAGCGCAGTCCTTTTTCACTTTTCACTTTTTCTGATTTATTTATTCTCTTGGCGGTGCTCATGTCTTGGCATCGCAGTGAACGTGCCGAGTCGGAGATTTCCGTACCTCATTGCCGGTACTTCCCCAGGTCCAAAAGTGATTCATTCTTCACTCTTTGAAACAATGCATCTGCGGCTCAATTGCCGACGCTGAAAATCTTGGTAACGGCATCGATATCTGGTGTGCAAACTTACTTACAGTATGGTCGTTGGTACTGGTCTAGGTGGGATATCTCACTGTGAAATATCCAAGAATCATTTCCCCAGAATTTTCGGGTTCCACCACTTCTTGGGCGTTTGGAGGTCACGCGGTTAGCAACGGCATTGGCAGCAGACTGCTTTCTGACTTGATATTGCTTCAATAAGATGGCAGGGGATGGGTCGACTAAGTAATACATCGTAAACCATGATACAATGCGGGTAGCTATGCTTTCTCCAGAAACTCACAATCAGAGTACTGTCTTCCTGCCAGTACGGGCGACGTGTCTGTTGGATAAAATCTTGTGGGAAATAAACAGGAAATCTTTTGGTTGGTCGATATTTGGGATTTGGAATGATCAATGAGGCGTGAAAATATCATTTCAACTCGCTCAAATGCTCTTCTAGCTATCTGTACATCATTCGGGCAATGATCTCATCGACACGCATCTGCAATGTTGCCTTGTGAATCTCCTCGACGGCGCCTCCAGATACCCTACCGGGACTAGGTTCCAAGGGCAAGCTGGCCTGTCCAACACGCCGTCTGAGAACGAAGACTTGGAAGAACTGTCGGATGCTAGGCGCGCATGCCGCGAAAACTCCGACACCTATCTCAATTCTTGACCACGTAGAAATTAGTAGCGAGTTCACTAGTACTATCCGGCCGTGTCAGTAGAGGCGAAATGCCAGGCATTGGACTTGACAGAGGCTTACCTGTAAAGTTGTATGTTCCTCGATGGGCGTCGGCGAGGAGTCTCAGTCTAAGTGAGCTGGCCGCCGTGAGACTACGATGAGGGAGAAAGTTGTTAGGCATTCCTGTGATTGGGTGAGGGTCAATCTTGATTCTTGAAGATGACTTACAAGAGACCTAGGCTGAACATGGCCATCAGACTGGACTTCTTTTCCCATTTCAGATTCAGACTTTGTATCTGCATCAGGGGCAGCGCAAGCATCCAGATGTCTAGTCCAAACTGGATGAACCCATGAGCTATTCCAATGTCGACGATGTTCATGCATGTTTCCTGGCTTTGAGAGTCTTGTCTCCAAATCGTTCAAGTAAGGTGAACGGGGTTATATTGAAAGATGCCGAGGATTTGAATTAGTTAGTGATTTGATCGGCGGTCAAAGACCACACGTTTTGACCAGTGCCGTTTCTGCCCTCTGTGGTGGAGGATTAGCCTTTAGGAATATTCCTGTAATCTGAAAGACTCTTCTATGAAGCAAGTGTAAATCGACCTACCATAGACATTGATCGGTACGAAAGCTATTAGAAATGCGTATATTCCGTCAGCTGTTTGCCGTTCAAATGTCGTGATCAATTTCAAACTCACGTATGCCCCCATGATCATCCAATTATCCGGTCCCCATGCAGAGACGCCAGCAGCCTTGACTGCCACTCGCATCAAGATTGACAGAGAAGCCAACACAAAAAAACCCCGCTAATATTAATACTTGTATTGAAACATAATCACTGGCTTCTAGAAGTCCACATGCTGCCCAAGTATAGTTCTGGGTGGCTATTGAGACCTGGTTAACTCCTAGCTCACACCACCGCAGGGGACGTGAAGTCTTTCGTACTTACCCAAGGCATCGGCTGGCAAGCAGTTAATCGTAACGCAAGCATCCATGAAACTCATGTATGCCGTGCCATTACATAGACATGGGTGGTTTGCCGTGAGACAGGACGAGATGCTCAAGCCTTGAATGAGGCATGGTTGCTGCCGTTGGGTATCCTGTTAGTCACAGGATCAGGCGCTTCGGGTTTAGGAAGATACCATGGCAGCATGCGTAGCGAATGCATCGCAATCAACGATACTATCTCGTGGGACTAAAGCTCGGCCTAAACGAACCTCGTTTGCCAAGCAAGACACAAGGGCCCAACGGATTACTCGCAGGTTTAACCGGCCAAGAATATCGTTTTTTGTCGGGTTGACATGCGGCTTGAAGTACGATGAGTGTAATTGACGGGCGATTTGGCTTGAAGCCGGTGACTATAGTCACGTTGTCGCGGCTAGCGACTTGTTTGATGCGTCGATCGCCTACACTCTCTAGCCTGACCTTGGACATATCTCATAAAGCTGACATGCGCGGCGGGCTACACTCTCACCATTCTCTGAAATAAACCAATATTGAGGGACCGGAGTGAGTTCGGCGTTGTCGATTTGAAGCGCAGGGCCATGATTTCTGTTTTCGGTCGGCATGTTTTCATTGTATTTTTGCCATGTGGACATGTCCGGATTAGCGATATGCCGATGACCCTGTCGTCTTGACTCTCTCGATCAAAGAGGACTCGAAAGTAGGGTTCGACTAGGGATCAAACTACAGAGTAATACTGAGCATCAGCCTAGTAGTCACCATGTTGTCGATTATCCTTGCTGTCTTCAGGGTTCCGTCTCGGATTGCTCTGGGCTATGACCCGCTTTCCCCGAGTCTGCCCATCGGACCCGGTCCCCAATCTCCGGCCGATTCAAACTTAGAATCGGTTCTCCGGCTGTGGCCTTTAAAGATCTTTGAGTCCAATCGTCTAGAAGCCAATTTTCCGGGTCTTTTTACATGAGGCGACTTATGTTCCCTTCTTCCATTGCCAAAAAGAAGAAGGCCATTGCCAAGGCTCCAGCCCAGTCGCCTTTGTCGCCCCAATTCGCAACGATCATCTGAGAACATTGTTAACCAAAGCTCTACGGATACGTTGGGTTCACTTTCTAACTATTAGTATACACGTAAAGCAGGTCAGACCTTTTGGTCGCGACGAGGTCAATAGTAATAAATTATCTATTAGGTATATAGAAGGGAGGAAGTTCGTGGGCAAAGCCCGCGATCCCTTTATAAGTATAAGTAGGTAGAAGGGTCCGTTAGTACGGGCCCCGACTGCCTACTTAACCACCTACTTACCTACCTACCCAAATCCACCTTTTCTGCCTTCGTAATCCAACACCAACAAATACCATACTCATCTTTAATAATTGCCGTGCCCCGGCCAAAAATCATTGCTTCTTATGGCTCAATTCGTTGGCCTACTCTCTTCCTCACCACAACATCGACGAGAAACAAGCCCCAGAGAAACATTGACGTCAGCCAACCGGCCCAGCTGCCGTAAAGTCTTGGGAGGGACCAGAGCTGACGCACGCAGTGGAGTCGACGGTCCAGCACTGCCGCAAGGCGCAACGATGGATCCCTGAGAATTGTCTTGTCAGCAACTGACAACAAACTCCGGGGGCCCTGTTTTCTCCAACTTTAACGCGTCCCGTCCCGTCCGTTGTGCTAAAGACGCGCTGTCTCCAACTGCCCCTCACACCATCTCAGTTCATCTCATCTCGTCCCATCTCATCGGCCGATAGATTCATACGAGTATCGAAGCTTTCCAAAGTTTTGTCCAGGCTAAAGCCTCCTAAAGACAAGCCATTCACTCGCCTTCCATGGGATCCTGCTGCTCGACATCCGACGACTCGTCACAGCACGAACTACAACAAGCACGCCCCGCCCAGCCGTCCCAAAATCAGAACAACATGCCGCCGCCGCGCGACCACATCGTCACACTCGAGAAGAAATGGGGCTACCACGCCATTGACGGGTATGAACTGAACAACAATACCTGGGGCCTCGAGAGCGCGACGTCGGGCTCGCAGCGCACGCACTACGACGGCCCTAGCCCGCCCGGCGCGTCGGGTGCCCAAGGCATCTCATGGTCGACGGACTGGGAGTGGCAGGGCGGCGAGCACAACGTCAAATCGTACGTCTACGGCGCGAGGCAGTTCCAGCGCCGGCTTTTGAGCGAGATCCAGGCGCTGCCAACGGAGGCCGAGTGGCATTACAGCACGTGGGATGTGAGGGCCAATGTGGCGTATGATATCTTTACGGACCCCGATAAAGACCATGCCAACAGCAGCGGAGAGTTTGAGGTCATGATCTGGTGAGTTTCATGATTGACATGTGAGTGTAGTCAACACGCTGATAAGTGTTTCGTCTAGGCTGGCAAAGTTGGGCGGCGTGTGGCCCATCAGTGAGTCCAAGGCGCCCATCGCACATGTCGAGATCTGCGGGCATCAATGGGAGGTTCACTTTGGTTATAACCACGGCGGCGCGATGAAGGTGTACAGCTTCTTGCCCGTCAACGGCCCGATTCAGCACTTCAACGCCGACGTCAAGCAGTTTTTCAACTTCTTGAGCCACCAGTTCCAGTTCCCCCAACACAACCAATACATGCTTGGTAAGCTGCTCATCCAATTGACCTGTCTATCCCAGCTAACACAATGGCCAGTCTACCAGCTCGGTACCGAGGCCTTCACTGGCGGTCCTGCACAATTTGTTGTGCCCAAGTTTATTGCCGATGTCATCTAGGTATAGGTACCAAGACACGGCCCATGATCTTTGCTGCTTCATGATAACAAAGAGAATCCGTCACTAGCCGAGCATCCCTTGAGGGAAGGCGCTCATTGCTTCTATAAGCACTCTATAGTAGTAATACACATATAATACATGATGAGAAAAGATTATTTACCGCCGCCTTCAAGGGTATCACGCAACACAATGGTCAACGCCAGCAGTCACCAATAGCTTAGCGTACTGCTGGTGCAAGAAGATTCCGGGTCCAACGAGTGGAACACCTTTACCGTCGCTCACTCCATTGAGGAGTATCGACTTGAGCTTGAAGCTGACGACTCGGGCCTGTCGGTCGACGTCTGCAACTAGAGTTATGATGCTGTCCAACTCGCGTGGGCCATCAGGGGCTACTGTGGGGGACAGCCCGCCCCGCAGCAGAATGCTGCTTGGAGACTTTTCGACAACAATGAAGTCATCAGCAAAGGTTGTGCCTGTTTGAGTCAGCGAGGGGAACATTGAATTATGAGTGAGAGACATGGCCAATATCCGCAATGAGACGTACCGACTGGATAAGTGCTCTTCAACAGCTCCTCTTTCTCCCAGAGGTCCCTTGCATTCGAGTCATCTTTACGGGCCATCTCCATGATTTTCCGTTGAATGTTGAATGCTTGTGTATCAAAGTCAGCTTCTTCTCATTTCGCCCTCACCGCTCAAGATAAATGCTTACCATATCGTCCCCAAACACCAGCAGAATACGTCTCCACAAGTTTTGAGCCCCCACTAAGCGCGTCCTCGACAAGATCTGGCCGCAAATTGTCAAATGACACCGTGCGGTAACAGCAGTCGTGAAAGACGGGATTATTCTTTGGATTGACGTTTTTGAGAAGGGAGTGTTTGAACAGGAGGTCGTTGGCCGGGGTAAAGTTGTCGTCGAACGCGCACTGACGCGTCCAAAGGTGAAAACCAGCGGCGCCCGTGATGGCGGTACCTGCGGCGAACTTGGAGAAGGTTGCTAACCTGGCCTTTGAGAAGAAGGAAGCCATCACGACGCGATTCAATCTGGATTTGGAATGAATGAAGCTGATTGGACAATGGGAAACATGCAAGATGAACAAGATGGATGGGAGGGGGGGCTGCAAAATGGGGATCGTGACATTAAAGCCAACTCCTACGATCCAGGTACGCGGTAGAAATCCAGAACCATTTCTCCGGGTCGATCCGTCCCATAACCCCGGAGAACAATTCTCTTCAAGTTTGGATCGGACTTCTTACCTCATTTTCAAGGGTTCTCGCGCCTTCGGCTTTCGGAATTCGGATCTGCCCAAGGGGGACACTTTTCTCTCACTGTTCACTAAACCAGAAGAGCGCCATTCTGCCGACGGGAGACCCACTCGGGCTCCGAGTCCGCCGGGGTTTCCGAGGGCGCCGAATGTTACCGGCGGATGTCGAATGACGCCGAACGATCGGACCCATCAAATAATCAGATCTACCGCCTTATCGTATGGAAACTTCACAATAGAAGAGCCGCATTCTCTATATTTCAAAGTTGTCAAGTGTGGGTCTCTGGCTTCAATTGTCGCAATTCTTCCACAGCCGTACAGCCAGTCTTGCTAATGACAAGTAACCACACAATGTCCCTTACTTGAAAGTTCGGGGGCCCAAGGGCGAATCACATCCTAACGAGAATTAAAACAGAGACTCAACATGCATCCAATGCTTTGTGTAACTTGGCTACAATCACAACTCTTGCGCCGGTGTTTCGTCAAACGTCCATGTCTGAGGCTGATTGCCAGCGCTGTTTGCCAGCCGATTAACAACCAGTCACATGTACTCGTGTGGCTCACAACTTAGTCTCAGATTCGGAATCAATCGAATCGGCATGAGTATGCAAAGATGACATTTCCCGTGAAATGGTGAGATGAGCTATTTAAGCAAGGACCGTCAACAATGTTCACGGCGCCTGTATATTGCTATGTTGTCATCAAACCAAGAAGTCATTGCAATTTCAACCGATATTACACTTATCAGAAACCAATAAAACTCCGATACGGAACTCAAACACTTCGAAGATTCTCACAAATTGACTAGAAAACAGTCTGCCCAGGATGCCTGGCTATGCGACGATCTGCCCGAGATGCGGTAGTCCCTCATTCAAGCGGGGCATTTGCGAGCATTGTGGCAAGACTGGACCACCAGATAACTTACCAAGTAGTGAAGGTTCAAGTCCATGGTTCCTTTGATACTTCTGATCACTTTCGTTAGAATATCATAAGTGATGGGACCAGAATAGGCTTAGCCGTGATGGCGAGTTGGTGGACATCGTGATCGCAGTAGAGAGTGATTAGAGGAAGGTAATCTATTGCGGAGGATAGCCCGGCGGCCCTAGCTTTCCCAGTCAGTATTAGATGCAATAGAACGACAAGCACTTACTAATAATTATGAGCAACTGTGTTCTTCGTGCTTGATCAGAGTGACAGAGATTGAGCTATCGAGAGTTTGGCATAAAGCGTTAAGACCGCCCAGGAGGCACGGCTATGCAAATTGACCCGATGCCTATACAAGCCGTGGAAGTCCATGAACTTATGGTTTCGATGATTGTCTAGGCTGGCGAAGATGTATACTTGTATCTTTGATAATTCAGGCGTTGACCACATGATTCGCACTTTTCATCCCTGGTCCGCCATGCCTTCGCATGTTCTCACCATATCTGCATAGTACTTTTTCATAGGCTGTGAATCTGCATGCTGACATGCAATGCTGCCCAGCACAAGCGGGGATGCACCACGTCACACGTGCATCGTCACGAGACAGTCAGCCGTGTGAGAGACCTTTCGGCTCACCAAAGTCATACTGAGGCTGTCGGAAAGCATGAAACTCCATATCAAGTCAAAACAACTGTTATTGCGAATCTACTCAACAGCATGCTTCGTAAAGGTGGACAGAACCGCCGTCTTACAACTTGATACAAGATGGAGGCCGACCAGTTGGCCGTCAGCCTCGACAATTTAAGGGCCATCGCCGATGCCACCTTTCGAATAACCTTCAGCTTTACCAAAAGCGACAGCAAGTTAAACTCAGAGGTCCGGGCCGTTGCCAACGAAATACAAGACATCGCGGGCTTGTTGCATCGACTTTCTCTGTTAGCATCAGGACTTGACGAGATTGAGGACCAAGATTCGGACAGCAATGCTGCCCCGCCCCCACTGACCTCATTTCGCACCACTTTAGAACAACTAGGGGGATCGCTAAGGAGGCGAAAAAACGGATCGGACGACGACGAATGCGAACAGAAAAGGTGCGCCGATGTCAAGTGGCCATTTACGAGGGCCTGGACAATCGATCTCTTGAATGAGCTGAGCGAGCACAAGAAGACAATTGCAGAAGGATTGAATGGAGAATCAATCGAGCATCTGGTACAGTTACTGTCAAAACGGAAGTCTGTGGCAACCATACGTGACGAAGACTGGATATCGGAAGTTTTCAGCGACTTTTTCCCATCCCCTAGCTATTCCCAAGGCGTCTACATGGTTCTTAATACTTTTCTACGCGTCCGAGAAGAGTCATACATCATGGTACAAGATCGATACAAACACTTGTCAATACAGTCGAGCTTTTTCCAAGAAGAAGAGTTCGAAAATTGGCTTGGTAAGGGAGGATCACACCTTCTCTTCACGGCTCCTCCGGGCGGGGGAAGAACCGCCTTCACCGGCGCACTAGCACGGGAAACCTTCCGGCGACGCCGTGCACGAACTGTTGTTGTACCCATCTACTTTGAGCTTCTAGGTAGATACGCCTCGGATACGGACCTACTTGGCACCATCGTTGCTCAGATCGCGCGCCAAAATCAGGGTGCGTTTGAAGTTCTACGCCGATATCGTCAGGATCTAGGTGGCAAACCGACATGGGCAACAAACGGATCGACCGTGGAAGGACTGAAAGTCGTTCTTTGGCAAATTTCAACTTTCTTTGAACATGTCTTGGTCATTGTTGACTGCTCAAGGGTTAAAGGACTTGGCATCATGCCGATGATTGCGTCCTTGATCAAGACTTCCAAAGAATCCGCACCAAACTTCAGTCTGGCAGTGGTTTATCAAGACCTCAAGTCCGTTCGAGAGTCTTTAGATGAATCCGTCACTAAATGTGACATTACACCATCCGTGGGCATCTTGCAGGCTTTCGCTGCCACCGAGGTAGCAAGACGAGTCAGGACCGGGGCTCTGCGGTTTGAACGGACAGCGATAAAGGACGCTACGATCCGCAAACTCAGCGTTGGTGGCGACCATATGTAAGCCAACGAAACTCTCACGAAATGGGTAAGGCTAATAAGTAAGACAGCTTCTGGAAGATCGCATATCAACTTGACCACCTCTGTGCCTTGCAGTCCCACTCTGAGCAGGTTGAGTTTCTGGAGAAGCTCCCATGCTCGTTACACGACACCTATCGTTTAACGTTGGAAGGATTCCAGAAAAGGACGCCAGAATCTCGAAGCTTGATACTAAGGGCTCTACAACTAATGGAATGTTCACATCACGAACTGAGTGCCCCAGAGTTCTGCCAAGCCCTTTCAGTTTCAGGCATTTCCGGGCTGGATCCTGAGATGTTGGAGTATCCGGAGGTGGACGAATCAGAGATTCTCCGACAATGCAGTCCCATGATCAAAAAATCGCTGGATGGCACAAAATTCGTGTTTACGCACGACTCGATTGAAAGGTTTCTTAGAAAAATCGACCCATCCAGCGATTTGGCTGCATACCGTATCACAAATATCAGAACGAATCGGCTTCTCACTACCTGCGCACTCAGATTCCTGACTTTAGGTCATTTCGCCCGACTTCCAAGCTTATCGTTGTCAGAAGCGGATTTCATACGGACCAGGAATGAGAGATACCCCTTTTATAGGTTCGCCGCATTGACTTGGCACAAAATTGCTGCCAGACATTGGCAGGACCCGGAGTTGGTCGTAGAAGCAATGGCACTTTTCGATCCCAAACAGACAACAAATTTCAAGGCTTGGTGTCTTGAAGTATGTCGTCAGTACAGAATAAACAGGTCCTGTAACAATTGGAGAGGTCGAAAAGACAAAGGCGTAATTAAGAGACCGGCATCTGTTTGCTCAGAAACTACGGAAGTCAACTCTTCCGCTGCAACATGGTCGAATAAAGATTTAGGAGATAGTACTTCAGATACCCCGCCTCATCTGGGATCATCATCCTCCGCGAGTCCACCCCAGAGGAAGAAGATGTCCAAGCGATCTTGGGCAGCCGGTCAGACAAGGCGCCTTGCACGTGTACTAAGGCGAGGCGACTTTACCCCGTTACACATGGCTGCTCTCCTGGGTATCGATGCCGTTTGCTTGGAGTTAATTCGAATCGGAGAAAATCTCGATCGGCCAAGCAAGATAGGGACCCCTTTGCAGTGTGCAATTGGAGGTACTTTACTCATCGGTCAACACGAAATCCCGATATTCAGATTCCCTAGGGCATGGCTTGACCGACCACGTAAGAGCACCATTGAGCTGCTGATCAGTGCGGGAGCGGATTGTACACGAGGTTTGCCCAGCCAGACATACCCTTGGAGCACTGTTGGTGCTTTGGCCCTGAAATCCTCGGAATGGGCTAGGGATTTCCAAATCTTCGCGGTCGTCGTTAAAGGCGGTGCCCAGCTACACGATGACGCTGTCGTTGTGTTCCGGTCGATCTGCCGCAGATGGTCCAAGCAGAAAGACTCGGAGGCCAAGGAGCATATTCAGGCCATCTTGGAAATCTTAGATGGAATGGTTGAAAAGAAAGAGGGCGAATCGTTGGCTTATCTCAAAGCTTTCCAGAAGGCGGTTTCGGAAACCACTGACATTGACATACCACTGCCTATCTCGCAAGGCATCTCCGATGACATGCTTGTCCAACAGATGTGGAAATCAATCGACGAAGACAACTTGAAAGCGATCGAGGATCAGTATCAAAGCAACACAAGAATCGAGGACCTCCTGAAAGGCGACATCTTGACGAAACTGCTCGACTTCGCTGTCGCATGCTCAGCTGTCAACTGCTTGGACCACTTGCTCACAAATTACATGGCCGAAAACGGCCCACATGATTGGAAAGGCAAAGCTGTGCTTTATTGCGTCGAAGATGGAAAGCAAGAAGTCCTCTTATGCTTATTGAAGAATGGTGCCCAAACCATGAGAGCCAATGCGAGAGGAAGCACCATTTGGCATCTAGCAGCTGCCAAAGCTACCTCATCTAGGATTCTCAAAGTCTTACTTGAAAATAGCGACGAGGCAGAACGAAAAGATTCCTTGAGAATGTTGAATGAGAGTGGCCGTACAGTGCTTGCCAAAGCGCTTGTCAGCAGACAGTACTCAAACGCCTCTATCATCCTCAAACACTGCGGAAAAGATCGTGCGTGCCTGAAGAGTAGACATCCATCACTACCTCACCTTGTGGCAGGTATTCAGGATAGCGTCTTACTTAAAGAGTTGTACGACTGCGAAATGTTTCGATTTGTGGCTAATGATACACCTCTCAATTATTTCCATGTAGAAGACTCGGCAAGTGTGGAAGCAACTCGCCAACTCCTGGAAATGTTTCCCTACCCTTGTTCCGATAAGCCTCCAACGCCCTTGAGGGTATACCTGTCGAAACCCGACTTGAACATCTACAAGAAAGAACTTGTAACACTTCTTGTCCAGAAAGAGCTGTCTGCCGCACCTAGCGTCAACGGTATTCATACCTGGCAGTACTTCTGCAAAAGCGTGTGGGGTTATTTCAGAAGAGCATCAGAAGCTGAGGCCTGGGAAGTTGTCGAACTTGTAAAGCTCATGGTCCATCTCGGTTGCATGAGCGATTATGAGAAAGCTAGAGAAACATCTGGGCTGGTAGAGATCGTTTCTCTCTTTGATGTCGAGTGGATGTTGACTGCGTTTACACCTGACAACGACGCTGTACTTGCGACTGAAGAGATATTCGGCATTGTTTATGACACAACGGCCTTACCTCATTACTACAAAAGTAGTGGTATGGATATCAAGGTCATCAAGTGGACTATTGCTCACAATTCCTGGCACCTGTTTCGTCGTCTTATCCACATGGATATTGATGTTCATAAGAGGGACAAGAGAGCAAACTTGTTAGAGTACGTGTGCTCTCACGGTACCGAATTCAACGGTCATAGGATGCTCGTGAATCTTTTGGAACGGGCTGAGAAAGATCGTCTGGACGAGCTGAATCCCGACGAAGACCTTGGTCTCCTACACCTACTAGGAATGCCATATGGCAAGGAGGACTTATCTTCAGATAATAGTCCCTTGTTCAGTCCTAGTTTTATCCCGATGGAAACCTTCAGTCTGCCACAAGGTCCACCTTACCCTTTGCGTTTAGGACCGGGGGGATTCGCGGCATTGAGAATACCACGCGACAACCCAAAGTTTAGCCTACTCCAACGACTGCTTGACGAGTATATGGACTGCCAGCTGCTCAGCAAAAGGGGTAGCTTTTCAGCTCTGAGTACGCACATAAGATACTGTCATCTTGACACGGCACGGCTTCTACTTCTACGCGGATCATCAGAGATTCTATCTACTCCTGACAAGTTTGGGTGGACTCCTGTAGCGTGGGCATGCGCGCATGGCTACACGGACTTCATCGACCAGATGGTTGCATTCCCCTGCTCTAAATCCATTTGGAACTTCCAGGTTGAGGCGACGTTGGGTGTCGAAGCAGCTCCTTCGTTTACGAAGCCCTACCGCGGCCTCTGCGCTCTGCACCTCGCGGTACTTGCCTCGGCACAGACTGTGTCGTTTCTGCTGGATCGCGGCTTTGCCTCGGACCTTGATATTACTGATGCACAATTACATACCCCTTTACACCTTGCCACAATGTTCGGGCAACTGGAAACTATCAAAGAACTTGTTTCTCGGGGATCAAATATCAATGCCAAGGACTGTGACGGATGGACCCCCTTACACTTCGCAATCAATCTCAACAAGAGAGACACCGTTGAGCTCCTTCTGGAGCTCGGCGCAGCCCATATGGAAACGAAAAAAGGAGAGACGCCGCTCGACTTCGCGATGCCCAAGGAACAATACTATATTCAACGAGTTAAAAGGTCCATCCAAGAAAACTTGAAGACTGACGCGGATATTCACTGTGACAAGCAGTGGCTGTCTTCTCTCTCTCAATCCATGGAAAAGGCCATCATTGACGGCGATACTAAAATTTGTAGAAATCTTCTCAGGGAAGGCTGCCCGGTGGACATCAAGATGAGATCTTGCCATACTTGCACAGCTCTCATTTTCGCGTTGTCACGTAATGAGATGTCTGCGAACATCGTCGACACTCTTGTGGAGCACGGAGCAAGTTTTCGGGGAACTACCTGTGCCAGCCATACGTGCGGAAATTTCAAGCGATACGGAATCCGCCATTTCAACGACTACACTTCAGACAACTCCTTATCTTCCTCATCATCTGATAGTGATGATGAAAAAAAGTACCGGCAGCTTGCCTGGCCATCGTTTGGGTCTACCAGTCTTGACATGCTCATGTGGGAGGACGATTTGTTCGAGAAAATTTCGACATGGCTATGCTCCGTTCCGGAGAAAGACATGATCTGGCTCATTGACAATTCCATAGCCGTCCATGTAGCTGTGGATCGCGGCAGCGTCAGAGCTCTTCGAGTTCTCTTATCTCACGCGGCTAGGATCGGCAATGGCAGTCACAGAGACTTGGCTCATGAGCTTGTGAACAGGGCTGGATGGCGTTCTGGACCCAACGTAGCTTCGCCTCTTCAGGACGCAGTCGATGCTTGTAACCTGGAGCTTGTCCGCCTTCTCCTCGAATATGGAGCAGAAGTTGACAGGCAAACCATTATGAGGGGAACCGCACTTCACCAAGCTGCGAACCAGAAAAGCATCGAGCTTGCACGACTTCTTTTGGAGCACGGGGCCTCGCTTGCAATCAGAGATTATTATCGCGGATTTACCCCTCTGGAAGAAGCAGTCCAATCTTGCAACACCAAGATGGTGAACCTCTTGTTAGAGCATGGGGCATATGTCAGATATTCACAACACGCTGACACATCCTTGGTGTGTGGATCGACGGAAACTGCAGTTCTGATGCTAAAATCAGGCATCCCTCTTCAAACGATAGGAAGGTATGGCGCACCCCTCTGGGCGCCGGCGTGTCTCAAAAGCCGGCTTGCGACTTTCATCTTCAACTCCGATTGTGGTCATTCAATCGCATCTGAAATGACTGCACCAAAGCTTTGGAAGATTCTATCCTACGTCTACTACATTGAAGAGCGGGGTCGTTTCCTGGGTTTTCTTCGTTTGCTGTATCGCCGAAGTGGACACGGATCCATACGAGACATGGCTGAGTGTGATGGAAAAGACACTGAAAGATCATATGGTGTGTTGTGCCTATTAGCTGATCTCGGACTTGTTGAAGAGGCCAAGTTGCTGCTAGGATTGGGCTGCAACATTGAGTTCGAGGGAGGTTCGACTGGCACTGCGCTAATGGCAGCAGCTCATGGGGGTCGGCTAGACGTAGTTAAAATGCTCGTCTATGCAGGAGCACGGATATGTTACGAGAAGGATGAATCAGGCAGGAGTGCGGTTGCGGCAGCTCAGGATTTCCCGGAAATCGTAAGCTGGCTGTTGGTTGGAAGATTTACGGAGCAGGCGAAAATTGAGGTGGCCCCGCCTGGCTGGCTGACGGACCAACAAAGTGGGATTCGCCCCTGGAGCGGTTATCGTCTTGGCAAGTTCTCTCTGTCAGGAAGATACGCTCGGCACTGGGGAGATTCGAGCTTGAGGTGGTTGTCGTGTTTGGAAAAGGCGCGAAGGAACTTACGGGGACAAGTTGTCATATCAAGGTCATGGGACAGGGAAGACTGCTAGGAAACGAATAACTATAGGTAAATGACTTTTCTAGGATTAAAATTCGTCACATGCTAGGATTCGTCTGCATTGCATCATGCAGTGCTCCCAACTCAATGTGGTTAGAGCATCAACAATGGAAAAGACCTTCGCCCGGATTAACCGACTGGTACACAAGTACGCACGACACCGGCAGCAGACAAAGACAGAAAAAACTGCGGTAAATTTTCCGAGGCTGTAGCCAGTGCGCGTTTAGTCATTTGTCCAAACGTGATAAGACCGTAAGTCCGGTCCAGGGGACTGTACGTCCATACTTCCAACGACTAATATCATGCAGGTCGGGAAGAAGGAACCAATCTGGCCCGCTCGATCCTGGCAAACTTTTAAACTGCCGTAAATAAGAGCGTGATTCCGCCTTTCTGAGACGGTGTTCAGATTGTGACCATCTTTCATTCTTGAGATCAAGTGGTGAATCGTCATCCAGATGGGCAGCATATTCTCCAAGACTACGCCCAAGGCACCAGCAACAGTGGCTACGGACACAATCATCCCCTTGAACACCAATGATGATACTACCTTCAATAGGGGCATTGTCATGGGTTTCATGATGCGCTTTGACAACGTCTTGAACCCAGAAAAGCTGCACTCGTCACTTAAGAAGCTGCTAGGCCGTGAGGGATGGCGAAAGCTTGGTGCCAGAATAAGACTGAACGTAAGCTCCCATCTCAAGCATTTAAATGTGTGCCGAGACAGCTGCTCACATATATAACAGTCTCAGAACAAGCTTGAGTACCATGTCCCTCAGCTATACAATGCGGAAAGACCAGCTATTGCGTACTCGCACCAGAGGCACGACTGCAGCATCAAACATCATCCGCTTGCTTCGCGGCTACCGAAAGCAACCTCAAGCCCAGCAGTTATAGGGACTCCACCAGAAAAGTTCCAGGATTTGATGCGAAGATCAGATGGCCCCAAGTCGATGCAAGACTACATCTATCGCGATGAACCTCAGCTGAGTCTGCACATCGTCTCCTTCGATGACGCGACGCTTGTCAGTTTGACATGGCTGCACACTTTATGGGATGGGATCGGAAGGCATGAACTTCTGACTGCGTGGACTGCCATTCTCGAGGGTCGCGACGATGATGTCAAAGTCTTCCACGGGTTTGACACAGATCCCCTGGAAGAGCTGGGAAAGAACCCTACAGAGCCATTTGTTCTAGCTGAGCAGCGCCTTTCAGTCTGGGGACTGGTCCGACTCGTTCTGTGGTACATTTGGGACATCCTCCGTCATCCTTTTGAAGAATCGCGCATTGCTTGTATACCGGCAGTGTACATCGAAAAACTCAAGAAAAAGGTCAACCAAGAGTTAAGTGAACAGAGTACCGGCCCAGACAAATTATTCGCCAGCGAGGGAGACATCGTTACCGCCGTTATCGGCCGCCTATGGTCGCAACATCTGCCTACAAACACCAACAAACCGATTGTCCTCGGAAACGTCATCAATATACGTCGTGCGCTCGCTCAGGACATTCTTCCAGAGAAGACCGCTTTCATATCAAACGCCACATCCCTGATCATAACTACCATCACCGCAGAGGACCTCTGGACAAAGCCGCTGAGCTACACAGCTGCCGCGGTACGACGATCCATTCAAGAGCAAGGGACTCGAGCGCAAATTGAAGCTCGCAAAGCCCTAGAAGAAAAACATTTTGCAGCTTTGTTTGGTGACAAGAACATGCATCAGATTTTACTCTCAAACTGGGGCAAAGCCAAATTCTTCGAAATAGACTTCTCTTCCGCCGTCGTCGAGCCTCACTTAGCCTCTGTTGCTGAACCGCACAAACTTGGAAGCCCCTCGCTGATTCTCAATGCGAACTATGTGAGGGGCTTCTCACTTAGATTTGCGGGTCCGATAATGGGGAAGGACTTAGATGGCAATATTTGGTGGGGTGGTAATTTGCGGAAAGGTCTTTGGGACAGAATTGCGCAAACCTTGGAAGATCAGGGTTGGTATTTGGTAACCAAGTAGTTTGCATTACTCTATCTACACCACGTCAATACGGCAGATCTACCTTTTGTCTATATCTAGGTAGCTGGCTTGTTGAGGTCTAGTCATGTCTGCTCGTGGGTTCGCATTCGTTTCGTACCCAATTTACATCATTATTTTCCCAATAGTAGTTTCAGGCCCTTCAAGGCTTGCTCGTTAGCCGTGAACAGAATGCCACCGGCCAAAATCGTTCGTCCAAGTCGCATGACCGTTCCCCTCCAAAGGCCCTTGACTCCATCTTCGACCATGATCGCTCGAAACGACTCCATTGTGCCCACGGCTTTGGCCTGTTGAGCCTTTGTCTTGATCGTATCAAAGGGTTGCGTCGCTACGGTCGTGACTGTGCCAGCAAGCGCGCCATTGGCAAAGCTCATGATCGGACCCTCAGGGCTGATTCCCTTGCTACGCTCGAAGTCTTTGATGATACTGTAGCTGCCGAGGCGAAACCCTGTGGTGCCAATTTGTTTCAGAGTTGTGGTGATGTAGCCGCGCCAGAGAGCCTTCAGAACTCCTTGTTCTCGCGTCAGGGTTTTGATGCAATCCATTGCGCCCGTGAATCGCCGCGTTGTCTTGGCATCGTCGATGAGCGCTGTCTTGATGCGCTCGCTCGGTGTGACAATGATCGTGCTGCTGACGATCCCAGCTACCATTCCTGACGCAATACTTTGCATGGGTCCTAGCGTATGCGTCTTCTTGTCTTCGAATACGGAGCGAATGCTGTCGAACGCGACGAACCTCACCGCGTCCTTCCCGATAGACCCCACGATCATCGTGCTGCATCCCTTGTAAAGCGCCGGCAACCCCTCGTCGCGCGCAACGCGCAGGACTATCGCAAAGGGGTTTCTTGTCCCTTTCTGGTGTCCATAGAGTTGTACTCGCGTCTTGGCGAACTCAAATGGATACGTGCAGGCGGCTTCTACACCGCCGGCGATGCCTCCCGCGGCGAGTGAGAGTAGCGGCGATGCCTTGCCGTCCGCCGGAGCGACCATCGCGACCCCAGATCTGCCCCTGGGACGTGTTGATCCTAGACTTTTTGTCGAAATGAGCGTTCGTAATCCGTAAAAGAATCAAGATAGAAGTAAGCCGGTGGTCGTAATCTTTGGGCTCGACGTCGGGGAAATATTTCAAGATGATTTATGAGGGTCGCAATGATCGGCCCGGCCCGGTGTTCGCCTCGGTTAATTGTCGGCCTCGTGGAGACGCTTATCGCCGGATGCTCATCGAGTCCTTAGCGGCGATTCAATACCGCACACCAGAGACTCCGGACTCATTTTTCAAGTTGTTAATACACCCGATGCGACTTACATACCACAGACTTCGTCATTGACAATGTTAGAACGACCAGCAGTGATATGCAACTTGTCGGCTTATTATGACCTTCTTCCCATAAGTCTCGATTTCAGATGACATATGGGTATTTCTAAGAATTAGTAGGGAACGCCTTGTTAATCGCATAAATCTCACAAGTGGCTTGATTCATTGCGAAGTGTCGGACTTCATAGTATCTTGCCATTCTATCACTAGATAAGGAAGTCCGGATATGGGATCTCAATTCTCATTGCAACTATACGATCGTCAATGTTTGCGCCTCTGCCCCCTCAAACCACGATGACTCTCCTCGATCATGAAATGAGCCAACGCGATGGAACAAAGATGGAGATCTTTCCATCAATACCAAGCCCCTGACATTCTTGCCCATTTGTTCCGGGAGCCACTCACTTTCGATGCCAAGAAAATACAAAGGCTTCTGACTCTGCAACACCTCATGCTGTTCCTGGCTGTGTGGGTCGGCATCAAGAAACAAGTACCCGACCCATTCGTTCTTATAATTGAGCCATCTAACACCATCATAATCTCTACCATGACTGCCTGCAGCTCTAGTCGCTAAGCATGGACCTGAAATGGTCATATATCCCGAAGTAACGCTTCCGTAAGGATTCGCAGGGGAGTTTAATGTGGTTCCGGCATCAACGATGTCCACGAAGCTACTTCCTACCTGTGTAAACCCAAAGTCAACAGATCCTTGCACGGATGCCCATCGGCGCCACCCACTCCTCTGGCCGGGATTTCTGAGATTCGGGGAGAAAAATATCCATTGACCCTCCTTGCCGCCAGAGCAAGCTTCTCTCTAGCTTTTCTCCCATAGACCCGCCAAGTAGCGACCTTGCCTACCGTTCAGTAATGTATCGAAAGCCCGAGCCATTCCTTCTATTGCAGGGAGTCTGTCTGTCGGGTTGGTGAGACTTCGGGATGAATAGTTCTGCACAAGACCATACCAGAACGAGGCAGAAACTTCTTCTCTTTGAAGCCAAGATGTGTACATGGGAAAGAAAGGTTTCATCTTGATACCGTCAAGCGCAGAACGGGGACAAATGTAATGGATAGTGGAGGAAGTAAAAACCAACCGCCGGGGAGCCAGTTCCAATTCTTGGAGAGCCCATGCCCGGCGACTGATAGGCTCGTCTTTGAACTGAACGCCGGTGTCCAGGATAACGGATGTATTCTGGACATCCTCGTATGAAGGTTCAACGGGAATCTGGCACTGATGCACAGCTATAGAAAAGAAGCCATCGCCGGAGTCTGGGGCATTCGCTGCGACTATTGTGATGAACGGGTTCTTGTAGATACTGGCCATTCTGGCCGACTCATACAACCAATCTTCCTCAGAGTCTTGAAGGAAGCATAATGCATCGATCCATATGTACTGAATATGAACTCCTTGCGCCACTCGAAGAGCATCCTGCAGACTGAGAGGCAGTGCCGAAGGAGAGAATCCTTGCTGTCGGTCGGCTAATGTCGCTGAAGTGATTGTGAACATATTCGATTTGCCCCAACAATACGATAGGGCGGCGTATCTACTAGTCTTATCAACTTCTGCTATGGTTTTGATCTTGATCCAGTTGTTGGCGTAATTACTGAGGTCGACGAGTCGGGTTGGTAGTTCTACCTTACCGACGGGGAAGCAAGCGTGGTCCGCTTGGCATGGGAAGATCTCTGTCTGGGCCATTTGCCAATGACTTGTGACTGTCAGGTCTTTGACACAGTTAAAGACTTTTCTCATAGGGATCGTTATTGCATGTGACCTACCGCTGCCATTAAGAAGCCTGCAACTCATACTCTGTGGTTCCTCGCTCTCGTTCCGAGGCATCATTGCCACGTGCATACTCTTGTGGCGAGATGGCGCCTGTATACACTCTCGAAAAATGTAGGAAATACTTCTCATAGCCTTTGAGGATCACCTTCCTCGGTGGTTTGTTGTGTGATCTTATTTTCGCGGGCTTAGCCCGTTTTGCGAGCTTCATCATGACGCTTCCCCAGCACTCTTCGCCCCCATCAATAGCCTTAGAGCAGAAAGCTCTATGTATTATCATACATAAGCTACAAATTCCCCTCGACGCTGAGATTCCAGCTAGACTGCCCACCATGCGAGACCAATCAAGGTCTTCCAAATCCGAGGGTAAGCTGATGGTTTGGCACCGAGCACATAACCGCTGCATATCTGTCAACGCCGCCATGCCTGGACTAGACAGACACAGATCGGGCAGTATTAAGCGTATGGCCAGCTAACCCCCTTGAGCTGGGTCTATCAATTGAATGGTGACGTTGTAACTTGCATAGCCAGGTTTGCCCATACCCAAAGTATCTAAGCAAGAATGCCCAAAATAGTGGGGGAAGATAGTTTCTAGCTGGCCTCAAGCTACGACCCCGAAAGGGGGCCTAAAGTTTTTCCGGACTTACTATTATAGAGCCCCCGAGATTTGGTTAACAGAAAGAAATATGTCAACGGGACTCATGTACTTGAACTGAATGAGGCTCAGATGTTGTCGAAGCATAACGCCGTGGAGCCTCACCCCTCCATACCCCTCACCTCGTTTAGGCAGCAGTTCTCCTATCCTGTCTCCGCTCTCAATTTGCTGACATTCTTCGGACCGACGACCAATAGCCTAAGTTAGACCACGGTGACCCTCCTTCTTAGGGCCTCTATGTTGAACCTCTCGACGCTTTCAACAGCATGCTCTCCATGTTGATGATTGCGTTTTGGATCAACCAACACAGACCATAAGTAGACCTTCGCGTTGATCTGTAATTTCCGAGCCCATCACAGCCTTAACTATGTACTTCCATGTATTCACTCCTCGAACTCCTGGACTCGTGCATGACTTGATGTTTCTAATGACGCGCGACTGCGTCCTTCAGACATATGGTTCGTGCTTCTACTCCTGCTACCGCAATGATTTGCACACCCACAGCTGTTGTGGGTGGTTCTGCACCTTTTCCCGCATACTTACTTATCCTTCACTTCAACGTCTTTGAGTCTTGCGGCATAGAATCACGCCTCGCAATACACAAAGCGCACTTTGAGGCGGCCCTGGCATCCGCCTTCATCGGTATCGCAACCGATGGGCGGCTCCCAGTCGGCGTTGACCCAGCACAACATAGCAACTGTCAGAGTCTGGCTTCTGTTCGAGGCCATAAATGTACGCAGAGGGCAAGGTTCATGCGAACTAACTATGACAGAGGTAAGCCCGTCCTACGCGAACTACAGCTGGGTGCAGCTAATTTACGTAACGCTTTCCAGGCAGACTGATAGCTGCCCAAAGGAGCAAACAACTCCTGCGCGGTAAACGTCGATACGTCACAGCGCATACGTATCAATCAGATAGTGTCGTCTGAGAAGTGGCCGACCTCAACAGAGAACGTCGACCGATGCTGTTCGGGAAAACAGGAAATAGTTGACCCCAGTCACGGTGTCGGGCCATGAGTATATCACTCGTCTACTTTACCCACGCATGTACTTCTTGTCGAGTGACCTGAAATCGCCGGACTCTTTGACGTTGTTGACGATAATTTAAGACCCAGAAATTGAATGGTCGCTCGTCGAAGTGCCCTGTTGAGATGGACGGTTCTTGTAAGTTATTGGCATGGAGCCACGGGGGCAAATGGCGAGAGATAGGCCATCGTCTCCCAGACTTGAGCACATAGCTACCAAGTATTCTCAGTCCAAGATTCCTACTTGGTAATCACAAGTACCTTGTCAAGGTAATATAAAGATTTGTTATCATAGGATTAGATTTGAGCCTACAAGTTGGTGACTCGTGAGACTTGAAGGCGGGATCTTTGATAACCCACCGGCTTGCCCACACTCCTTATTCAGTGCGCCTCGACGGATAATCACTCTCTACATACCGATTACGAGCTGAATATCTCGGCCTCACCTAGGCTCTAGCTAAAAATGGTGGGTTAGGTGGATCTAGACGTTTTTTGGTTGCGGCACGGCCATCTACGACGGTTAGGCAGCAGCATTACGGAGATATCCCTCTAGCATCGGAACAGGATCCCCCCCTGTGCTGAGCTGGCTGCCTCCGAAAAGAATACATGCAATCAAAGGCTGAAAGATCTTAATCTCTGGTGTTTGCTTTTGACCGAGATGCGATGTTGACAATGAGCCATCACTCGCGAAGCCCGCTTGGACCCCTGAATGCGGATGAGGTTGTCAAGAAAACATCTACCTATCACTGCCCACTTCATGGAGAATTAAAATACGAAATCTCATCTTATGGAACTTTCGCGCACAGGGTCACCACATATTACGGTTCACTGGGTAGGATGTTCTTTGCTGCAGGTAGTATAAGTCCCTTTCTGAACACTTCTACCTCTTGACTACGCTCATGCATGGCAGCTCCTTGCCAAAACACATAAGTGACCAGAACTTTTGGGGGAAATGCTTGTATTGTTTTACTATTTGCTTGTACTACCGGAAACCTTGTCATTTGATCGAATTATCTAAGTGACTACTTGAGGGTTCTTCTACCCAAACATGGCAAATTCTGGGTGCTTAACTGCCTATCATGTAATACTAGCTCCCGAAGATGCACTCACTTCGGTTGTCATGTCCACTATGTAAAATTCTGGTAATACAAGCTTGTGATAGCTTCCAATTCAACTCAATATTCCAGCGACGCGTCATCGCTCAATTCCACTTTCCTGGTGCCTGAAATCGTCTCCCGGCGGCGTCTTGGCGACGCCTAGTTCCCGAGATTATTAGCCCTATCCATCTGCAGACAACTTATCCGCAGCAAGAGAATTGCAAATGTCACGAACGTGTTTACGAGGAACTGCGCGAATTCCAGCAGCACAGCCTCTGCATAGTCTGACAGGGGAACTGAGACATCATGGATGCCATACCTTAGAGAGAGCCAGCAGACTTCGGAGGTTGATAGCCCAATGAAGAGGTTACTGACAGGTAACCAAAAGCTTGGGACATGATGCGGAGTAAACGGCCTACCTGAATTGGCATTCGCCCAAGGGCGCGAACTTTTCTTTGGCCAAAAGTGGTAAAGCATGCATCTAAGTCATTGAGCAGAATGCCTCCCCGTTGTGTTGAAGACTCAAGAGGTGGTCCACGTAGAAAGGGAGGCTTCGTGGGCAGTCAAAAGTTCTCGGGCAACAATGAAAACGAGATATAAATCCATGGAAGCATCCCACCACATCTCGACCAGATCTTTCAATGCCACAGCACAGTCAATACCAGTCTTGAACTCTTCAGACGTTACCATGTTCTCCCTCAATCTCGACAGCTCGCTCTTGGGCTCTGACCTGCCTCTTCGGATAACGCTTTGCGTTCTACACTTCGTCTTTGGATCCATTTTCTTCGATATTATACACTGGCTTGCCCACAAGTCACATCGGTCTCGTTTTCGAGTACTACGACTACTTGCCAAGGCTCACTCGATTCACCATCAATACTTTGACCGCAATCTGAGATTCCACGAGCGATTCCGCCATCGGAACATTGTCCGGCATCTATCACTTGAGGTGTCTTGTCAGATGATTGGCAGCACAATGAGCTGGCTTCTCAGCCCTTTGTTCATGCGCAAGGCTTCACTTTCCCAATTCCATGACCTAGTCATTATACTCTTCGTCCAAGCCGGTCGAGCAGCCGTCGTGGCATGGAACTCTGGGAATGATTCAAACCACATTCCTTACCCGCGGCTCCCGAAAGACCCTTCCACCTTCTTTGTTGGACCTGAGTACCATGCTCTTCACCACATTGAACCTCTTGCCTACTTTGGGTCAATGGTGCGCCTGCTCGACTGGTTTCTCGGTACCGGGGTCTCACTCAGGGGCCGGCGCGTAACAATGACGGGGTCTAGAGGAGCCCTCGGCCAGGCCCTAATGAAGCAGCTTCACCTTCAAGGGGTTCGATGCATTCATACACCCAAATTTGGAGTCGACTGGACGTACGACGACTATTCTTACTTTGAGTCTATCCTCGCAGACACCGACATACTCGTTCTCGCCCATGGGTCCAAAAACAACGACAATCCCCACGAGGCAAATTGCAAGTCCGCTGTCACTGTCATAGACCTCTTTAAGAAATTTTGTGAGCGGCGAAAACTTGGATTACTGCCGGAAGTTTGGTACATTGGTAGCGAGGCCGAACTCCATGGGGCATGGACGAAAGACATGGAGGACTACACACAGTCGAAACGCGCATTCGTACCGCACGCTCGAAGGTATTATGGAGACGAAATCTTTAATTATCGGCACATAGTTCCGGCAGCGTTTACCTCGAGAATGGGAAGCGGGTTTATGTCTGCTGACTCGGCCGCCAAAGTAGCTCTATGGTGGATTCGGACTGGCGCACGATACGTTCCGGTCACCTACACCGGATTTGCGTATCTCAATTTCTTCAGGTTTAGACTGGGAGGTTTTGCTATCGGTTCGAAAAAGAGCCCAACTCGAGGAGCTTCCGAGATTTTGCGCATTATTGATGGAGGACGGGCTAAACTCTGGCGTTGAGGCTATCCATCCGGGAAAGCGTACGTGTTATGTCACGCGCATGTTAGATTTCACTTCGTGTTCATATCAGTTCTGTGAAGCTACAGCACATATTCCAAGACATAGTTCATCTTACTCATAAGCCCTCCTCGTAAATTATTCTAGAGTTCTCGGGGGAGCACCGTACCTTGAGCCCACATCTAAGGAGTGAACATGTCAGTTGCGGGTCGTGGGCGACCAACGTTTGCGTCCAGGATCCACACGAGGGCTTCAACCACCCACCTCGAGCCCACATGATCACCTCGTCGCCGCGTCGACGCCATGGAAGCAATTCCCGCTCAATTGGTCTATTAGTCTAGTTGGTTAGGACGTCGGATTCTGATCTCGAAATCAGTTCCTTCCGTAAGCCCAGGTTCGAATCCTGGATGGACCTTTACGTTTTGATCATCATGGTAGAAGTGTTTGGAGGGGTCATAGTTTGGATATTCCGACCCTGGGACCCTTTTGCAGGTCCAACTTTTGGCGGCCAACGAATGCCGCAAGGTTGACATCATCCAATCCATTTGCTCTCCCTTGAATTCAGTCAGCTCGCGAAGATGGTGTTGACTTGCACTATAACTACCATGGTGTTGCAACTCTCATCTCAGAATAACAGTCGTAATTGCCCCGGAGCTCCGACCCTCCGACTAGCTGGCCGGGATGCGGATGTCCGTGACGTATGACGCAGAAAAGTCGGAAGCCGTATTCGAGCTGGTGTTCCGTGGTGTACTCCAGACGAAACAGTACACGTTAGCTGCGAGCTTCAGCTGAGACTTGTGTGACAGGTCGATGCTACCAATTTGAGATGCCGCTCTTGACAACCATAGCAATAGTCCCGCATGTCATTTGCAGACAAGTTTTGAGTTTACTCAAGGATGGGGAAGTACGGCGGGAAGTACGGCACCTACTAGGTTAAGGTTACTGATGCTAGCAACATCAGATGAATCTCGCAATGCTTTATGAACCAAGGTAAGCCATGGTCAACTCACAACTTATCTCGGAGCCTTTAGTGGGTAACTTTGGCCAAGATCAACATACACAGCAAACTAATCGAAGTTGTTGCACAATGTACGCAAGCGATGTTCTTCAGTCTTCAGAAGCCTGCGGGCTCTCCTTTCTCGTCGGAGTTGCCCTCCATCTCTACGTCTTCCGATTCGGCGAATGGGATCTCTCAGCACAGCGCATCATCACGAACTTCACGCTCGCGTATGCAGCAACTATCGGGGTCACCATGGCGTTACCATCCTTCATGTCCATGATTTCTAGAACCTCATTGGAAGCGACCAGCCTGACTCAAGTCTCCAAAGCTGCTATAATACTATTCTCATCACTTACGGCGGGCATCTACGCGAGCATCCTAATATACCGAGGCCTATTCCACCGCCTGCATCGATTTCCCGGCCCCTTTCTTGCCAAGTTCACGAACCTTTACGTCACGTTCAAGATCTGGAACAGGATGCACCTCCATGAGGACGTGCGAAAGCTGCACGAGAAGTACGGCGACGTGGTGAGGATCGGCCCGACCGAGCTCTCGATCAACAAGTCTGGTGCCATCGACGCCGTCTTCCTGGACACGGATTGCATGAAGGGACCATGGTATAATCTGCTTCATCCCATGGTCTCGATGCAAATGGTTCGCGACAAGGAGGCGCATTCTAGACGCCGAAAAGCGTGGGAATATGGCTTCACCTCGAAATGTAAGTTATCTTGAGAGGACGTTGGCAGAACTGGTCAAAATCAATACTGGTGGAGACTGATGGACGGCGCTACGCAGCACTTCGCGATTACGAACCCCGCGTCCTCAAGTACACCGACCAACTTCTCGCCGGCATCGAAGCCAGCGCGGGCACCAAGTTCAACGTATCCCTCTGGTTCAACTTTTACAGCTTCGACGTCATGGGCGAGTTCTCCTTGGGCCACGGATTTCGCATGCTCGAAGACGGTGTCGCGCATTTTTACATGAACTCGCTGCATGACGAAACCAAGGCCGTCGGGCGCTTCACGCACGCCATGTGGGCTCTGCCGCTATATCGCAAGATGGCCATCTGGAACGCCGGCGTCAAGAAGTTCAAGACGTGGATCTCGGGCCAGGTGCAACAGCGGATCCAGAATAAGCCTGAGAGTCCCGATATCTTTACGTGGGTGTTGGAGGATTACGAAGCTAAGAAGGAGCACTCCTTTCAGGATATGCTTAATCTGTATGGAGACTGTATCTTGATTACAGTTGCTGGAAGGTAAAGCTCTCGCCGCGAGTGATCCCATTTTTCTTGTGCAACGGGTTATTAACTCGCTGTGGTGGTATCTAGCGACACTGTGGCAGCTGTTCTATCATGCCTCTTCATGGAGCTTGCCCGACATCCGAAAGAGTACAGGAAACTGCAAGATGAAGTCGACGAGTACTTCAGAGGACATGGCAAGCCTGAACATGCCGCCCTTTCAAAGCTGCGATATCTTCAAGCCTGTATCGACGAATCACTGCGTCTGCATCCACCTGTACCGTCGGGTGTTCAGCGGATGACACCACCAGAGGGTCTTCAAGTAGACGACGTCTGGCTTCCTGGAGATACCATTGTCTTTGTACCGTCGTACACACAGTATAGAGGTGAGTTACTCTAAAGATTGAGCAGCAAAAGTTGCCGTTTGACTCGCTTCGGACGACGGATATGGATGGGCAACTAATAGATCTGCCGAGTGATAGACGCCAGGTTCTTTGAAAGACCAGATGACTTCTTCCCTGAACGATGGATTGACCAGCCAGAACTCGTCAAGAACGCCTCAGTCTACGTACCGTTCTCGACAGGTGAGTATCTGACTACCTCTATCCCATCAAGTTAGCTAAACGACGACTTTGCTAACGTCACTCGCAAGGACACGACGTATGTATCGGGAAACAGCTCGGCCTACTAGAGACGCGATTTGTGACCAGCGCCATCGTGCACAAATACAACTTGCGATATGCACAGGGGCAGACAGGGGAGATATTCCTGGAGGGCAACAAGGACACGGGTACGCTGACCGTCGCCCCGCTCAATGTGGTATTCTCGGCGAGGAAAGCGTAAGCGTGGGGGTGGTTCGGCGAAGTTGTCTCATCTCCCGTCTTTATATGCAGCTTGTAGAAATTTGCCGTTCAGGGGAGGTTGGTTGTCAACTCACCAGAATCTTAAAAACTGCACAGGGCATGCCACTGTTGGTTGCATGGGTGCGTGGCTAGTGAGATGTGGTATGTAGAGTGTGCCTATTCTTCTCGTATATGTTCCTTGGCGTAGGTACCTACACCTACCAGCACTACCTATGTGCAGATATTTGCAAACTCGACTGCGAGCGTGAGGTTCAAACTTGGAATATTATGATGTGTCGAAAGAGAAATGCTCGCTATCATGCCGTGCGTACCAACATCGCTGATGATTCCTGGAGAAAATGCGCATCAAATCTTGCCATACGTCGCCCGTATCCGTCGCTCCAAATGTTCCCGACTCGTAACAGGTTCGGCACTTTCGTACCCCTTTCTCCTCAAAACCTCCAAAAACTCGGCATCTGCACCGCCGCCGCCGCCATCCCTTCGATCCTCCTTGATCGGCGCCAACACGACATGGCGGTCGGGCTGTATAAAGACGGGTATACTCAACCTCGCAACATTCTCACTCACGGACCTGGGGAAGGCGACCCTGTGCACCGTAGACCGCAGCCTCCCTGCGGTCCAAAATTCGAGGGCGTCGCCTATGTTGACGACGATGGCGTCAGGGATGCAGGGGACGTCAGCCCACGCCGCAGCGTTGTTTCCTCCTCCTCGCAGGACCTGAAGCCCGCCCTGGTCCGAGGGTTGGCGGAAAAGCAGGGTAAGTGAGCCGTAATCGGAGTGGGCGCCCGCTCGGATATCCTCCGAGTTGGAAGCTGGGGCATCTTCTAGGGAGGAGGAGGTAGTGGTGGATGGTGAGACCTCGGATACCGGGGGGTAGTTTATGAGACGCATACGACAACTTTCGCCAGTATGGGCCTTTGATAGAAAATCTCTTGGCATCTGAAGGCAAGAGTTTAGTTTAAATCCACCCCCTCGTTTTGATAGTTCTCCCCCAGCAGGATGGAATCTCAAGCATTCAGGTGGCAGAACTCACGCCTAATCCAACTGCAAGTCCTTCCAAAAGGGTCTTTGCGAGGCTATCGCAACCTGCAAAGAATGCCGCCATTGTCTCTCGCCGGGATTCCAACTCGATTGGAAGCCGTTGCGTTGTTTTACCGGGGTCAGATAGGTAGAAGGACTCTTTAACGTCGCCTGGGCCTGCTCCCGATAGCCTGTTCCACCCCACAAACATCAACATCTGAGCGTGATCTCACTATGTCTTTACGAAAGGGGAAATAGAGTAAGCATGATAGATTGGACTGAGCAAAACGTACGTTTCTTCTCTCATACCGGTGTAACCCTAAGCGAAACCAAATCACACAGTCAGCACCGCAAAAGATTGATTGCCGATCATATCCGTCCAACAAGATGTACTTATATCCCTACTTTCCCACGCCCTCTCGTTCCTGGTTGCTGAAATGAAGAGGAAGAGAAACGGGAAAGACACAGGACTATTTGGGCAAGATGCAGAAAACAAAAAAGGGAAAACTCACCAGATCGCCGCTGCCATTCGCGTACGCCAACTTCTCTTCAAGGGGTGAGCTGAAGAAGGTCTGGGCAAGAGCAAACATGTCAGCTGCGACGTCGTCGCGCAGCTCGTGGCCAACAACGTAGAAGAAACCGGGGTCCTTGCCGACGCGCATAAGGTCGGCCGCCAGGTCCTCGACCGAGTCGAAGGACCGCAGGTCAACGACTGGTAGCGCCGCCGCTGACTCCGCCGCCGCCGCTGCGGCCGCGGTCATGGTTGGCTTGTTGGTTTCGGCGCACCGCGCAGACGCGCAAACCAGGGTTTGGAAGACGGGGGGTGTTGGACAATGGGATTCTTATAGCCCCCGTTCGCGTTCTAGAACAAACAGTGAAGATTATGCGGGGGATTAGATGTGGGTAGTGGGTTTTCAAGTCAAGCAAGCAAGCGACTGTGAATTCTGGTAATATCGCGCGTAATATGGCTTTGAGAATTTTCGTCTGATCCGAGTTGCGCGCCCGACAGGAGGCAAAGAAGTGCGGGTATAAAAGTTTGCAGGATAGAATGAATGATGCAAGCGGCATTGGCGAACGCCACTGTCACAGCAGATAGCGATAAAAAAATGTCCAAGCTCCTCGAGTTAAGTAGCAACCATTTTCTCTTTCTCTTTCGCAGAACAAACCCCTCTTCCGACGGACCGACCTCGAGATAACCTCGTGGGGAATCGGGGTTCCGCGGTCTCGGAGGCGGTTAAAGCTGTAGAATCAAAGAAACAGCGGCAGATTCTCCATCTCAAGAGCCCGCTCATTTTGCCTTTTTGCCTTTCTTTTTTGCCCATCTTCAGAGAGCCCCGCCGCGGGAAACACACGTGGGCTTGCTGGGTCTCGGGGTCCTGGAGGCGTTCGATGGGCCAAAGAGAAGAGGAGAGTGACCGCCCGTACAGACGCCAGACGCAACCCTAAACTGGGTTAATTCTTCTCTTTTGGAGAATGGATGGCGGGGCCGGGGGTTTGCGGCCGCGGTTGACGATCGATAGGTGTGACGAAGAAACGGCAGTGCCCGCGCGCGTCTGGCCCCGTGACCGGCCCAGTTTCCCATGCAGAAAGTCTCCGCAGAAACGACGAAACAAAATGCGGAGATGAGAGCAATTGTGATCTCGATTCTTGACTGAAGCCGTCCAAAGTCGTGTCTCAGAGGAGGGGTCCAAATTGATGGAGCGGGCGATGGTGTTGCTCAAGCCAATCGCGATTCGTTGCCATTTCCCGAGCCACATGAATTTGCGGCCGAGACAGCGAGACAGTGGCTGTTGAGCTGTTGAGCTGTAGAATGCCCGAGTGCCATAATGTGACAGTTCACTCAACTTTCCTGTTTACTGCGATGTGTGGGATACATACCATGATGGACAGGAAATCTGATTGGCATCTGTACGGAGACGATATCTGGCGATGTGCTTGAGACAACGCCGCAACGGTGTGCAAGCAAGCAATGCAGCCTACTTCTCCGAAGACTTACATGGTTCAAATCTCTGAGAGGAATCAGGCTGATGACCCTGTCTTCTACGTCTCGTATGATAGGTCTTCGTTGGTCCGCCCTGCTCCAACACGCCAAGCGAAATTGAAGAGCAAACAAAATCCCATTCCCCCTTGCCCATTCAGATCCAACACGTAATAATCCTGCTTTCGTACCCATCAGGTAAGCAGGAGGAAAGGAAAAAAAGGAAGAAACACCCCCGGCGTGAACTAGAACCCAAAGAGACCCTTGCACCAATTCTCTTTTCCCCTCCCTACCGAGAGCCTGGTCCGCACCCCTTCTGCCCTATCCACATTCCCACACTTTTGGGGCCAGGGATCATCGTCACCGCTGCAGGTTCTGCATGGCATTGGAGGGGCGGGCACGTCGTGGATCGTGAAATTGACCGCGCATCCCCACGAGGGAAAGAGTCCGAAAGGGACGGCGGGGTGTTATGTAGTTTGAGTCTAGGTTCTCTTCCAACTGCATAATATCAAACGCGATATTTGTCGTAAACCTGGAAGTTCAGCTTACGAAGTATTACATGGCGTCTCCTCTAGCTTCTACAAACCTTGCCTCTAGAGTCTTTCCCCCCCTACCAAACTCCCCAACCCCCAACCATATTCTCCCTTTTCGCCATGGATATTCCCGTAGTCCCCGTCAGCTCTCAAGTCCCGCTATTCGTAGACCGAGGTGCTGATATCTTGTTTCAAACGACTGGAGCAAACCCGGCCGCCATCTACACTATTGCGCCGGGATGATTGGAAACCCCTGAGGTGGTATCATCGGTGAAAGCTGACCCTGCACTTGGTAAGCCAGGGCTTCAGGCGCACCCTCCATCATGTACGGGAATCCATACACAGCAAGGTAAGACCACCTCCTTCTGGCTCTTTTCTTTTTCCTCTCCTGTCAGCCTGTCGGTGGCCCGTTGGACAAGTCGCTAACCACGCCTCTGGGATTTCTGTCTCGCCCGCTTGCTCAACCCTTTGCCCGGGACAGGTTCCGCGCCCAGCATTCAGCTCCTCCAGACCCAGATTCCCGGTACTTACCAAGTTCCGTACGTAGGCATTTGAACCTCAAATGGGAACGCTCGAGAGATACAAATACCATCTGTGAAGGCCATTCCAAACCCCAATCACACTGTGTCTCTTCACATTGCCCTGCCTCCTTCTCTCACTCCTAGTCCCCCTCATAGCCTCCAACTTTTTTAACCTTTGGCCCGCTACGCGTTGCACGTAACTGAACACTCCACGATCTGTGCGACGTAACTAAGCTTTCCGTACGAAACTCTGACAAGCTAGACGCTAAAAAGTCGAACCAAAGAAACGAAAAAGGCTCGCCTCAGAATCGTCCGGTCCGCTTACGGTCTGGCCTAGCGCCCTCCCCGTCTCCCCTTTCTAGATCTCTCCCGCACCGCCTCACTCCTAAGTAAGGTCCGTCTCATATCTTCATTGAAAGAGGCCGGACTCACTCGACAACCCTAGGTACTCTACTGCCCCCATCCCATCCCGTTTCCTCCTGAGCGGGCCCCATCTTCCCGCCCTCCACATTCACCCGCCTCTTGGTCCCCGTCCATTTTCCCTCCCAAACGGGTGGGCATACACCGCAGTAGTTCGCAGAGCCGGCGTCGCGGCGTACATCACACATTCCTCAAGTGAACACCACCAACACCTCACAACAACTCGCTTCATCAGCGGGACACCCCAGCAGCGGGAAGCTTGAACTAGAGGGAACTAGCAACAAGAAGCTGTTCTGACTATCGACGGTGTCTACGTTGTTGCCCTTCTGGGGCTAAAACCCGGCGCCGATCCATCACCGCAAAAACAGCTAAGATGACGACCGCAACGGCCCTCCTCCGCCGCGTCCAAGTCCCCCGCGAGACGGACGTGGCAACGACAGCCTACATGAACCGCGACACCCGGCCCCTCCCGCCCTCCCGCCGCACCTACGGGCCCTGGCAATTCGTCGGTCTCTGGGTCGTCACCGGCTCCTTCAACATTGGCGGCTGGACGACGGGCTCCTCCCTCATCGCCCTCGGCCTCAACGTCTGGCAGGCCATGCTGACCGTCATCATCGGCCACTGCCTCGTCGGCCTCATTTGCGTCCTCGCCGGCGGGCCGGGCGCGAAGTGGCACATTGGCTTCTCTATCCTGCAAAAAGCCTCCTGGGGCATGCGCGGCGCCCTGTTCCCGCTCGTCCAGCGGATCGTCTTGTCGTTTATATGGTATTCTACACAAGTCTACTGGGGCGGACAATGCGTACGCACCTTCATCGCCTCCATGGCCCCGTCCTTCAACAACCTCGACACGCCCCTCGCCAACGGCACAATGACCGTGGCAGACTTCATCGGCTTCATCATCTTCTCCCTCCTCTGCCTGCCTCTAATCTACATCCGCCCAGAACGCTACCACATCCCCTTCGCCGTCGCCGCCTGCACCGTCATCCCCACCGTCTTCGTCCTCTTAATCTGGTGCCTAGCCACAGCCCGCGGCGCCGGCCCCATGCTCCACGACATCTCCTCCACCGCCGGCGTCCAGCAGGCGACGGGCTCGCACCTGGGCTGGATGCTCGCCCTCGGCATCTGCACAAACATCGGCGGCATCAGCACCCACATCTTCTCCCAGTCCGACTTCACGCGCTTCGCCCGCCGGCCCCGCGACCAGCTCGCCTCCCAGCTCGTCTTCGTGCCCGTCAACACCATCCTCGTCGCGTTCGTCGGCATCGTCTGCACCTCCTGCGCGGCCCAGCTCTTCCCCAAGACCCAGGGCACGCTCGTCTGGGAACCCTACCGCTTCCTCGACGCCCTCCAGGCCCACTACGACAACAGCGCGGGAGCCCGCGCCGCCGTCTTCTTCGCGGCCCTCGCCTTCATCTTTGCCCAGTTCGGCATCGCCGTCGCGGAGAACGCCCTCTCCAACGGCATCGACCTCTCCGCCCTGGTGCCGCGCTACTTTAACCTCCGCCGCGGCGGGTACCTGACCGCCGCTGTGGCCTTTATCATGCAGCCGTGGCAGCTCCTCAACGGCGCGAGCAAGTTCCTCACGGTAATGGGCGGCTACGGCGTCTTCCTGGGGTCCATGACAGGCGTCATGTTTGCGGATTACTACCTCGTTCGCGCGCGGCGGCTGAAGCTGACGGACCTCTACGAGGCGAGCAGCCGGAGCGTGTACTGGTACCGCGGGGGTGTCAACTGGCGGGCGGGCGTGTCGTGGACGGTGGGCACGTTCTCGCTGCTACCCGGGTTCGTGCAGCGGGTGCAGGATCCGACGGTGGAAAAGGCGGGGTGGTCGCACCTGTATTACCTCGCTTGGCCGCTGGGTTGTACCCTTGCCGTGGTATCGTATTGTCTGCTGCATGTTGCGTTCCCGATTCGGGACCCTCATGCGGTTGACGACGCGGACTACTTTGGCACGTTTGGACCGGCGGAGAGGCCGGTCCTAGACGGGGAACAGCCCCCGTCGTCGTCTTCCAAGGCATCTGAGGGGGATGATTCGACTAGCAAGATTCGTGTGGAACCTGATGAGAAGAGGGTGTGAAGGGGTTAGGTCTGTGAAGTGGTGTGTTATGATCACGAGCCAGCTCTTGTCGTTTTCCTTGTTATAGCCCGCGGGATACCTTTTGTTGTGTGTGCGGTTTTTACCCGAATAGAATATGCCATGATGGCCCTAATGACTTCCCATCAATTCTGTCATCAGTTCAAGTGAGAGGGAGATGAGATGTGACGTGTCGAAAGAGGTGATGAAGCGGCAGCCTGCCGTCGACCCTATGTGTATGTTTCATTCGGCCCATCATGAATACCAGAAGGAGTCGTATTTCGTGCTAAATGTGACGGTTCGTCTGCAAGTTCTCCCTAGCGTCGCTGGCATTGGTTGCTACTCATACTGGAAGGGTGCATACATCACATCTTCACCACCACCAGAATGATGATAAGAAAACATATCGAAGGAGAAGGAGTGGGCGGCCATCATACACACTTATTGAATTCAACCACCGCTCAATCAATACCCTGGCATTTGCTACCATCAAGCCCTAGTAAGCCCATCAATCCACAATGCGCCAATTCATCATCTCGCCTCGTGAATCGTGACATCCCCCTCCTCCACCATCCCGCGCCGTCATCCACATCAAAGAACCCTCCCCTGCTCAATCCCATTCATTTAGATAGCGTAAAGAGGGCAAAATGACCCAAACGGGCCAAAGGGACTCAAGAGGGTCCACATCGTACGAGCCCTGCATAGAAGATCGTCCCCAAGTGCCGATGCGGGAGACAACGAGAAGTAAAAGACGAGGTGTTCCACCGCACAAAGGCGGGGTTGCGGGCGGATGAGCTGCTGAATCCATGGATGAACCGACTCGGAACCCGGCGACTGCGGCCAGGGAACCTAACAGCCCGTCCGCTCCAGTTGCTGAAAACGGCATGTCGAAAAAAACAAATGCCGTCTATTGATGTTGATAATGTCAAAGGTCAGGTTGATAAAAGCCAGAATTCATCCCGTTTATGCGCGTCGATAGAATAATACCCGAGGCCGTCCGCATCCCCGCCCCCCTGTTTTTCCTTTGTTCTCACAAAAGGACAAACAAACATGGCATCGGCAATGGAAGAGCCCGTGAGGCTCCTATGCATCATCCCTATATCAACAACAGGCATGACGGACGACCTCACGCGTATATATCCCTCCACGGCAACCCTCCAAATCACTTTCATAGACGGCCGCGACCTCGATGACTGCCCCCCGTGCATCGAGAACCATGCACAGGCCAAATTCTCAACCAACGCTGTCCTCCCCCGTGCCATAGAGTACATCTCCACACACAGTCCGCACGCCGTTCTCGTCTGCTGTTTCTCAGACCACCCACTAGTATACGCCCTTCAGGAGCGCGTCGGTGACACGGTTCCCGCCACGGGAATATTCCAAGCCGCGTTGCAGGAAGCCACAGCAAGTGGAGGCAAGTTCGGCATTGTGACAGCGGCGACCTCATGGGAAAAGCCGTTGACAGACTCTGTCGATGACCTCGGTTTCGGGGGATATTCAACGGGCGTCGTGGCGACCGGCTTGAGTCCACTTGAGCTGGAGAGCTTGGATCGGGGTATCGTCATTGACCGCATTGCTACATTTTCGAAGCCCTTGATTGACGCTGGCGCCGAGAGCATCATCCTCGGCTGTGCGGGAATGGCGGCACTGGAAGAGGATATACTTTCGGCTCTCCCGCCTTCGGTCAAGACGATTGATGGTGTTCGTTCAGGGATGACGATTTTGTCGCGACGGTTTGAGGAGGCGGCTTTTACCAAACCAGCGCTTTCTCTCCTTGACGATACCAAGACCAACATTGAGGTGAGCAGCACAGAATTGACAAGGGACAGACAGCAGGTAGTATCAAGTAGTAAGGGCACTGTATGTAAGATCAAGGGCTAGTAGCCACTATAAATGATGTTGATAAATTCGTATGGTGATAGATCTGGCAAGAGTCAACACAAAATCAGGTTGTTCCCCAGCTCTCAATTGCGCCGGCCCAATCGATCTCCGCCCCGTCGTTGAAGGCATTATTCCACATGTTCCCGATAAAATCTGCTTGAAAATTGTAAAAGGAAGTATTTGGCAACGCATATTGCTCAAGAAACCCTGGGTGCTGCTGCTGCGGCGGCGGCTGAGGCATCAAGTCCATGACCCGCGGGTCGTTCGTTATATCAGGCTGATGATGCATGATCGGCGCTACCGATACTGCCGGTACTGCTGTCACTGTCGGTATTGCCTGGCTCTGTCGAAGAAGTATCTCTTCTAATTTGTGGATATACTGAAAGATTCGTGCGCCTGCCTGACTGGCTGAGGGAAGGGACGGTGCGAGGCTCTGGAGAAAAGTGGCCATGGAAGTCCTGATCAGTCAGCATGGTTGACGATAGGGGGCGTACAAGCCACAGCTTACATGACTTCGCGAAGTTTGTAGTACTGCCAGTCAACCAACTGGCGGGCAATAAAGCTGCTAAGCAGGTGGGCGACTCCTGCCAACTCTTGCAACTGTGTAGCAATATCAGCACAGCATCGGTCAAGTAATTGAGGAACATACCATGGGATATCCGATTGCCCGTAAGTACTCTACCGGCACCAGGGTAATCTCTCGTATTAATTCAAGCGCTGCGCCGCAAGCATCTTCGAACTTATTGTGGCACGCAAATGCCGCCATCCGGAGTAGCTTTGACTCGAAGTTAGCCATGGGAGCATTTGGCATGCAAAGAACCGAACCCACCTGAAAGGTACAAGCAATATTGGCCACTTGAAATCCACATAGGTTTGCCTCCACGTCTTTGGACGCCGGATAAGCGCTGGTGGCATATGGCGGAAGATTGCTCTTCTTTCCCAGAACCAGAAGCAACATTTCGTCAATGTTTGGCATAAGTGGTTCGTGTTGGATCGGGCCTCTGTCGAGCGTCTTTAGTCGATCTTTGCGCATTCGAACAATGACATGTTCCAGAACGCGGTACAGGTCGGTTATGTAGTTCCAGCCGGTAAGCCAGCTGCCGTGGCTGAATCGGGTCTTCTCGGTCTGCCCGGAGGCATCTACGATCCCAGCGAGGCCGTCGACTTGCTGCGGATATGCAACAGCGCACTGTAGTTCGGGGCACCGAACCACATGGCCGTCGATCAGCGCTGCGTGAACCTCTAAGCGGTACATTGACCAGAAAAACTGCCGCCTCACGTGCTTCTCGGGATATGTAAGATGCGAGGGCCAGCGCGCTTCGAAATGGAAGGTATGCTGAGCTACTAGTGTGTGATAACGGCCCATACACTCGTGGAAGAGAGGGTCATCCTTGAGCTGTGTGGCGGCCAAGGATAAAGTGCCGAGAACCTGTAGATACTCAAAGGCCTCGGAACTGCTGATGTCGCGATTTCTTTCCGGAATCGCCCTTTCTGCATCCTGCATGTAGGCTTCATGATGCTCAGGGAGAAGAGGAGTGGGCGTATCCGGATTGAACAAGGCGCCATCTCTGACGTGACACGAACTCAACGCGCAAATGGCCATCAGCCGGGCGAATGAAGCCCTGCTGGACGACAGACTGGTGGCCTCCCATTCTTTGTGTAAGGACACCTCGTCGAAAAATGGAAATCTTCAGACAAGATTAGCTTATCCGATGTAGCACAGAAGATGCAGGCCAAACAGGATGAGGGTGGGATGAACGTACACTGGGTATACAGTGTCAAAAAAGATGACGATGAGCCGATAGATGAGGGCCCGGCTCCCGTGGCGGCTCTCGTCGTAGAACCACCTATCACCATCGGCATCGTCGAAGGATTGAGATTTATTATTGTTCACTGAAGAAGAAGGCGACGTCTTTGATTTAACACCTCGCTTGGCTGCAACACGGTTCCATGTGCAGGTCGCGCCGTGTTCGATGCAGGTCAGACAACTTGGTGTGCCGCCAGGACTGGCGACGGAGGCTACCCCGCCTCCGTCGGGCACGGGCTTGCATTTCCGCCCTCGACGATGGCAGAAATCGCAGGCCTTTGTGATGCGGCGACGCTTGATGCTGGGCTCGCTGTGCCGTCTGCTATCACCGTTTGGCAGATCGTCGTCTTCCTGTTTCTGGCCCATGATTCGAGCGAGCGCTGGACGCGTCGAATCGGGTCACGGGAGTCCCATCCGGCGGCGCGATGGCGAGGGACAACGGAGAATCGGGACGTTTGGCGGTGGATGCAATATCCGTACGGATATCTTTCTCACACGAGGGAAAACAGGTTAGGGAAAACCGGGTTAAGTTTTTCCTACTGTCTGAGCCACGGTGAGGGGCCGCGCACCCCAAGGAATCCTTCTCTCTCCTCCCTGGTACGGTTGACGGATGTGCAGATCCACCGTCTGGCTACACGTGTGCTAATTGCCGATGAACTGGATGGATTTGCTGAAGAAATGCAGGCCCGATTTCCGATACGTCGATGAATGCGGTCCGGAGGGGCACAATCGGCGGGAGGATGCCGTCTCTGTGCAACCTCGAAATGTGGGCGGTTTTTCTGACCGGGCTGAAATATGCTGGAGGAAACACGATTTGGCGGGATTTTTTTCTGCGTTCTCCTTCTTTGCGTCCAAGGAGGGATCGGAAACATCAAACATGAAATGAGATGAGAAGAACACACGGGCAGATCGAGGTTGAAATTGACACGGCCGGAAGAGTAGTGGAGGTGGAGGGGGGAGGGGACGTCGGGTGGACGTGGACTTGGAGCCGCGCTCCAACGAGCAAACAATCAGCCTGACTAAGCCGATACGTACTCTTTCTTTGTGGCACACGCAGGGACGGGAAAGAAGGAAAGAACGCTGAGAGGGAAGGCCCGCGGTGTGTTGTTTCCTCCTTCGCGCGATAAGGTAACACCCACCCGTGCCTGCCCCCCGGTGCTTCTGCCTTCCCAAATTGGCCAAGATCACGGGATTGAGGCACCCGCGTACCGTTGTACCTCGCGCTTTACCTCAGGCTCTCACGAATGGCACTTCGGTACGTACTGTCCGACGGCGCAGAGCAGCCAGAGGTGGCTGTGCCGCAGCCACTGATCGAATGACAGTGTCCTTTCTTTGTTCTTTAATTCCAATCCAATATTCCATCTTTCCAACACGTTGCGCTGTTGGTTCTACACCGCATCTCTCATCCCCCGGATCAGGCCTGGAAATAAGCCCGGATTCCCCCCTAATTCTGCAAGTGGACAGATACAGGCGTGGGGGGCGATTCAGCTTGCCTCGCATCTTGCTTCTTCCTTGGTACCGAGAATCTCAACCCAACATGAGATTTTGACTCTTTGGTGTCGTACTGTCTGCGCCGACGAGACACGCCAACGTCATGAGACCTGTGGCAATTCTGAAATATCCAATTCCCATCCGTCGTCAACATCCGGGCTGAGAAAATATGCTCGCTCAAGACCGCCTCTCAGTTAGGCGTGGAATGATCTAGACGCCTTCGAGAGAAACCAATGCCAAGTTTCATCTTGAGACCAACGCTTGGGGGGTGCCGATCACTTCTTAGCACAGACATAGGCACAGGTAAGACAGGCACAGACGATGGAAATGTTTGTGGGGTGGAGTGAGACGGCAGGTCCAGCCTGAATCTTGAATTCTGGCCCCCGATGAGTTTCCATCGCCCGATCGGCTCATGTGTTGGCTTCAGTGACACCTCACAACCAAAGCCCTTGGTTACTTTCCCCCAAGACATCGCACGCAAGTCATTGGGCTGCGGAATGGTTGATTTTGGATGCCACATGGCTACGGAGACTCAGCTCATTTTCTTTCATGCACGAAATGGTTACGTAGCATGCCCCTCGCCCTTTTTCTTGGCACCGATTGTTCTTCACCCAACCGGATAACGAGAAAGTAAGAAGCTGAATATCTCTCTGATTCCCCTCTTGCTTTGTTTTCGGGGCAATCTTACGCAAACCTCAGCCAACGATAAGAAGCGGTCAGGCGCGATTCCTAGCCTTATCATTATATGCACTGCAAGCTGAATCCTCAACCCACTTCGTGCAGGATGTTGATCAAAGACCAGCAGGGGGGACACAACATGGGTGTCGGTTCTGGACTCTACTCCGTACTTGGCTCGCGTTGACCTCGGATAAGTTGAGTGTGCAGTAAGGAATAGCGATTTCCAAATTGGTATGCACAATGCGACGAGACACAACTTGGTTCAAATCCGCCTCATTTTCTTAGTTCCGCCAAGAAAAGAAAACACCTTCTTTTGCGATTGCTGTTGATACCCATCATACTTATTCTAGTCATGCAACGTTGCCCGTCTTGTGTTGCTTCCCCTCTCAGAGGCGCCGGGGGTTGAAGACAAGTATTACTCTAACATAACCTCGATGTAGTCAAAGGCACTAGGCAGGCAGTAGGCCAAATTGTCAGCTCTTCCCAGACTGCGTGTGACTACACTAAGTTGCCGGCCAGTACTAGTGAGTGTCGAGGTAGGTCTGGACCAGACTTGATTCATAGTGACGATGCAGAAACATTGACCAGACTTTGGGTATGGTCAAAGAGAAGCGAGGGTTTTGCAGCTTCTCTCTTCTCGGGAATCGGCCAACGCTGAGGGCCACGAAAGCCAGACTCTGTTGGCGTTTTCATACAACGTGTACCCAATCTGACATCTGGTCTCAGGGAGAATTCACGAAGACGGGAATCCTTCGGAAAAGGGCCCGTCTCCGAAGTAGGAGCGAATGGAAATGCAGCTTCTGAGTTTCTTTCTTCCAATGCATTCGTCGATAACTTCTTAAGCGAGCCTCGTATCATCGTGCAATCTGTTGCGTCTAGCCACACAGCCTCGCCATTTGAAGCTGTAGCTATATGACAAGTAAAACAGGTTTTCTGGGTTACAAAATGTTTGAAATTATACCCAGATGTGGCTCTGAGCTTCTGAAGTCGTTACATGGAAGAGAATTGATGCCGAATGAGATCCAGCACGCAAACCTTGCGTGGTAGAGACATCAAATACCAAGGAAGTCAATCACTGCCTTAACCAAATGAAACAAATATCCAGCGCGCCGTATGTCTCCATATCCTTGAACCTTTTGACGTCGGATTACCAGAAAGCGAACTCGCTCACTGCCAGGCAGCAATAGGACCAACGTCCGAATGTGCGTCCACCCTCACTTGTCAAGCCATTTCAACCAAACTTCGGAATTACTGACAATCCGACCGAGCTTCCAATAACACAGGAGCAGACAAATACGCGTAAAGGAATACTTAGCCTTCTGCGGTGCTTCGGTGTTGTGTCAGATACCATTCGTCGCGGACTCGGCCACCAAGAAAGCCCCTATTGTAACCGTACCATAAAGTATGTCCTATTGGTTCAGCGAGTTCCAGACATCTGCTTTGCCTGTCTCATGATTTAACGTTACATGGTCAAATCCTTTCTTGAGACGCATCCCCTCGTTGACTGCCGCCAGCGACCCCTAAGCGCCGGGCCGGTGGGCAGCAGCTCGGCTCGAACGGACAACTTCCCCTCTTCATCGGCTAATGAAAAACAAAAGCCCAAAGTATCCCGCTGGCAGCTTTCTGGATTCTTTTGAAGAGCAAGGTAATGTTAAACAGCTTCGTTTGATCATATGACGCTCACGGGGTCATCGGGTTACTGATGCTCGTTTAAACCAACAAATTCACTCGACTTACTCAGTTTGCTACATCATTACTACGTTGAGTTTAGCCTTCCGAACGATTTATAGGGTACTGGGAGTAGCAAACTACGTATGCAAATGGTTTACACAGGATTATGATCTCCATCCTGATTTGAAATGGCATGCAATTAAACACAAGTTTTTGACTAGTGGATTTGGATACCGCCAGTCTTTTCGGCTCGGGTCAAAGAAGCTTACCCCACCGGGAAGCTTCTGTGCGCAACGTCGATCCCTCTTCTTTTCGGATGACGAATGTCAGCCTGATCAATAGCACAATCTTGAGCTTCCATATAAACCTCCCGAAAAACAAAGTTAGGTTTCAGATTGTACATGGAAAAGAAGACTACCTAGCTTGAAAGTTGGTCTTGAATTTGCTCGCAAGTCTCGAAACAGTTGTTAATCAGAAGAACTCTGATGCGTCTACTTTACCGTCACTTGCGGGATCGCCAAAGTTCACTTGGTCGGTGTCATGTCAAGTGGAATTGTGGAAATAAGGAACCTGGAAGGCTGCGATGTCACAGTTTTCGAGCAGTGTGCTGTCGTTCTGGGCCTGACTGCCGTTCCTTCTTTCATGAAACTAGACATACGCCAAGTATTTCCTGTGTCGTCTAAGTACAATGACGGGCCTCATCTAGACACCATTCCGGCATGCTTGAGGTACATTTGTGCTCAGCTACCTACCTATTCTGGGAGAGGAAAAATACCTCACTCCTTGAAGTCCTCGGGTTTGGAGATCTGAGCGCGTGATCATGGTAGAGAGTACTTGTTTACTGCGATACACAAACTTCGCAGAATGCGATAACTGCCTCAACTTGGATCAAAATGAGTTGCAGACTATGTCGGCTTGTGGAAAGCCATCGTTGCCCATATTGTGCTGAAAATGATAAACATGATATTGGAAGTGGTATTGGAGAAGGTCTTTTGAAAGCTATGAATCGACCTGTGTTGATTATTGTATCACTCTGACTCCTGTTCTGCCGATCACAACAAGCTGGGTGGCAAAACAACATTGATGGAGTAAGTACGCAGGCACGGCCATCCCTGACTCAGACTGCAATTGTCACTGGTCAGTTTGGAAGCTCCTTTACAGTGTATGACTCCTCGATCGAGTATGGAAACCGCGGGGAGTAATAGAATATTTCTGAAAAAAGCCTAGTGTGCCTGAAACTCTGTAGCTTCGCAACTAGCCTAAGACCGCGTCTACAAAGAAGTGTCTCTTGGGCACTGAAGCGTCTGCGTCAATGATTTCGGTTGTTTGTTATCGCAACTCCGCGACGGCCTCATTATTACTGACTTGAATGAAGGGAATCCGGACCCGCATTTGACCATGGGACTCCTTCGACTCAGAAAAAGAAACCTCCGGTCAAGTTTTCAAAGTTGAATCATGACCTCCGTGAAACACCATCGACCACGGAGTGTCTTTTCAACATCTCTAATCGGCCTCGTCCACTAATAAACCCCGAGGCATCAAAGCTCGGCACCGCTACACTGTCCGGTAAAACTCGGCCACGTGGACGCCCTACCAAATCGGCCGACAAAAGTCTCCGTGCGCCTGCAGCCCACCGCGTCTCCCACTCGTCTCGGCACCTCAAAGACCTTGGGTTTAAAGTTTCTCATGTCATCTGTGCTCCTCGAGAAACAGTTGCTCGCTCGATGCCGAACGTGACAAGGCATTCCCAGCCTCTAGTTGTCCATCCAGCGATCACACTACCCGTCCCTCGGTATCTACGACCTGTTTACCCGCCAAGGCTGTCGTTCTGGCTCGCAAATCCGCTCCGTCTCGCTCGCTATACGGCACCGCGCGACGCGTAATGATGGGATTGCTTGCGCGCCCGTCGTGGACTTGGCGTAATGCGTGCCGTGCGCTCGTTGTTTTGTTTGTGAGGAATAGGTTGAACTTGTTTCTAGAAATGGCTCATGGGCCCTTAGGCTTCTTGGCCTCCCATGTTTCCTCGCAACGATACTTGTTAGGTTCCCATACTCGTATAGAACCCGAGGATTTTGGGCTCTTCAGCCAATAGCTGAGATATCAGTACGGCCTCTTTTGTGTTAGGCCATCTTGAGCCTTGTGTCCCTCGGATCATTTGGGGCGCAGCTTATAAAGTTCAATGGTGCGGCCATCTGAACAGCAGGAAGAATTCAAGCTTGTCCAATTCCTTGAACTCTGACTTAAAGTTAGGCAGACCATACGGATGGTGCGACGGCTTGCATGTACCTTAGTGCCTCTTTTGCGGTGTGATGATCCCGTAGAACTGGTTGAGGGCAGAAACTTTCGTCTAGTAGAGTTCGTACCTTGCAGCCGTTGATGTAGACCTGATGCTTGTTCAACTACCTTCACGACTTTACGGAACTCACATAGTAGAGTCGGCTCCGTGATATCGGATTCGTATTATAGCTTGGGATGGGGTTCGAGGAAAGGAGGGGAATTCGGACTCATGTTGGCACAGACGCTGTCGGCGTGTCGGCGCAGATCGGCAGGGAGTTCACAGATCATGGACTCCCGGCTCTCAACTTGGCATCTCAAGTGCCAGAACTGGGAAGAGATGACACTGGCGTACCGTCAACAAGATGCTCTGATATGAGCAAGTTTCGCAAGTGCTCGACCTGGATGGTGGGCATGGGGGCCCTATTCCAGCCGGAGAGAGTGATGCCAATGGACTTTGGACCGATCGCAGCGCTTTGAACTAGTTCCTCCTTTCGGCTAGACCTCGCAATGACAGAATAATTTGATTAATGAGGCGAGACCGAGACCGTAGATCGTAGAACTGAGTGCAACTTGAGTAGAAGAGTCAGATGGATTCTGCCACAAAGCTGACTTGAGGCGCGAAATAAGGTTGTGCCGAAAGGTTGTTTGGCACCACGACAAAGCGCCCATGCAGGGTAGCCCCTCGTCCGGACACTCACCAACTGAGGAGGTTTGCAGATCAACCGAGCGATCACTCGCATAGGCGGGAAAATGGCGCGAGTCATCGGCTCGGCGTTCCGAGAGTGCTCCTCAGCTTACTGATTTACGCCGAGTGTATGTTGTCTTTACGAGTAGATAGTCCATGGTAATGTTTAGAGTTCTTCGTTTCATTAAAACCGTTTTGTTCTATGGATCTTGGCTCTGGACCTTACCACAACACAATTTTAACCTTAATAACTAGGCGCTGCACAAAGGGGGTAGAATAACAGCCCCAAAGCTTAAGTCAATAACCGCGTCATCTAATGATGGTCATCCGGTTGCTCTGTATGAGGCTGTTGATCGTGGAGTGGGGATATCGTCTGACTGAGGATGTAGCATGGGAACTCTCATGAGTCGGCATATCGTGGACCATTCATCGAACCCTTCTTTAGAGGCAAGTACGACTGCGGGATCAACCATGGCTGACTTCCACTTATATAAGGATGAAGCCATTCCCTTCAACAATAGCTTCTCTTCTTTCTTCATCAGCTCACTTGACTGTCATCTCTAGTATCAGACTCCAGCTTCTCCAGCCTGCCTCAGCACTTTCTCACCTCTTCTCCTACGATCAACGCACCATTTCAAATCTATACCAACAAACCGCTAAAATGCGCTTCTTCAGCACTCTCTTCCTTGTCACCTTGACCGCTACCGGCGTCGTCACTGCCTTGCCTGTCGCCCAGCCTCATGACTTGACTGCTCTCGCCGGAGAGGGCCTCCAGGACGCTGCCCCAGTGGAGGCTCTCGACATTGAGACTAACATCGAAACTAGAGAGGCTAGGGGCCCTAACACCCCGGCTGATGTCCAGAAGCATAACGAAAACCATAGGAAGCAGGATGCTGGCAACTGTGGACAAAACTGCAAGCAATCACTTGCCTCGTATCACTCGCAAGCCTCCAAGGATTCCAAGAACTCCCAGGCTTCCAAGAACTCGAAGAACTCAAAGAACGGAAAGAACGGTCCTCGCGCGGTCGAGAATGCCGAGAATGCTGAGGAGGCTGAGGGTGAGGAGGAGGTTGAGGCTTGAACCAGTCAGGATCAGTCTTGACACTGAGATAGTCTTGTTCTCGTGCTGGTAACGGTGTAATTGGAGTTTTTGGATACACGGTTTATACAGTACAAGCTGTGGCTGGAGCAATAAATAAATGTCTACTTTTTACCTCAGTCAAGTGCCCACATGCTCAATCGCAGCAAGATATCCACGCTGGCAAGGGGGCCCGGGGGCAGCACTCAGCTCTTGAGCTACGATATCATTTCACACTGCTTTATTTTGTTGAAACGAGTGTGTACTCTTATTTAAGTGAGAATCTGCTTCTCACTTCCTATCCATCACCCCTTCGACCTTCGCCATCTCCAGCCTATTCAGGCCCCATTCACTCCAAGGCGGTGGTGTTCGCCGCCAGCCAGTGGCCGATCTCGTGAATGATGTTCACCGTGTCGTACAGAAATGTTTGAATCTGCCTTGAATAATTAGTAGCTGTTTCCTAATGGTACATGTGGGCAACCTACGAAACCCATTCCAGGGATAGGGGGGAGATGATCGCGACGCTCTCCAAGCCGCTCGTATCCGAAATTGGCGTGCTGCGCAATCACAGTGACGACCAGGATCGAGAGAAGGACACCTCGGATATCCATTTTGGTTAATTTGACTCCGGATTCTCCGGGAACGCGATTGAATATGGATGCTATATGCTTGCTAGTCGTCGATTTTGAGACGTTGGTTCTGAACGTGTGTTTGTGATGGTGGTTGTTTTGTTGCTCGCCGAAACAACACCTGGAGCCTTGACAAAATACAAATGTTTCGACTGATCCAATGTTTGCCCGCTTTTTGAAGGCATCTGCTTAATCGTCAAAATTTAGACCAGTGAATCACTGTTCATTGAGCGCGGGCATTGCAAAGGTTACGTACGACCCGGATCTTGCACGGGAGTGTCGCCCAAGGAGCCGATACCTCATATCCATGGCCAACTCAGATTTGTATGTGTCAAAACAGCGCCAATAGACATTCTACTTTGAAAACACCATATGGATTCAACCTCTTCGACAGAAACAATACGTGAAGATGTTGATGTCGTGGACCGGCTCCAGATGCGAAACAGTGCATTGGTCATGGTGAGAATGAGGCTCTTTGACTCAGCAATACTCTACGAGACACAGAAAGAAAGAAAGGAGCAAGAAGAAGCATGTTCAAATCAAGAACAATGGGGGAGATCTCGGTTCCATGCGTAGCCAATCATACTTCCGTGTGGTCACCGAAAAGCTGACAGGTTGCCTCAATCTGCCTGTCGAACGTGCCTGGGACAAGCAACCTTCTGCAGCTAAAGGTTTTGGGCCTAGTCAACCTCCTCTTGTCTTACAACAGCTTACGCCATACCACTTCAGGCCGCAGATGGGCTTTTTCCAGATCAAATTCCCCTAAGACACAGCCTCAACGCCATGAGGCAGCCAGGGGCTTTCCGCCATTTTCAGGACAAAAAGCACCAGGCAGATTCGCATTGAGATGGAGCGACGTAATTATATGGCCTTGAAGAGACTGCAGCTCGAGTGCATAAGTATCATGATTGCCGATGCTCCGCTCTGTACATGTACGACTCGAGAAGTGCGGATAGCAACTTGGACATAAGCAGCTGCAGTGTGACGCCAATACTCAGGCCGAGATGCATCTCAAAAACTTCACCTCCTTTACATCGATCAAAGAAATTGTTCGGTCCAAACGTGTCAGGCGGAAGGCTAAGCGTCATGAAAAGAATCAAAAGCGCAGCAAATCAAGGAAAAACAAAAGAAATAAGTTTGTGTTGTCTAGTCTTTTCATGCACTCGGGTCTCATGCTCACTTGACAAAGAGCATGTTCGGGTCCACATTCGGGCTAACATTTGACACCTTAGGGAGAAAAGGTTCGAGCCCAAAAATCAACATCAGGCCCAAGATCAATTCTTAAATGGGGACTCGGAAGGGCAAATACCAGAAGCGTACTTGGCTTGGACTGCATCGCAGACTTTCGCACAGCCGCTCTCGTGGCGAAGGCCAAGTCATCTAGAACACGCGTTCCATGCCGACTCAGCTGGATACTGTCATCTAGCTTCGGGAACTCCGCCTTCCAGCCACCCGTCGCCAAACCCGACTCGGTCGTCTACCTTGAGTTCAATCTTGAGCAGCAGCGGAACCTCTTTGAGTTCTGCTACTTCAAAAATAAGGGTTCTGTTCCACCGTCGACATTCGGACACTGGAATATCAAGACCATCACCACTTTCGCATCAGCCGGAAAAGCGGAATTCTGTTCCAGGTCTATCGCCCACCTTTCCCAGGCACATTACGGAAGAAAGCCGCCAAGAGATCGTGCCTCCTCAAGCTCAAGGGGTGATCACAAGATCCATTGCCCCGAAACAAGAGGCATCGAGGCGTGCCGGAGTTATGGCGCAACAGCCTGTCGACCTCAAGGCAGTACGTGAGCATCTCAAGGCACTGAAGTCTACATCAGAAGCCTTCGTAGGCATTTGGGATTCGAAAGTGTCGCGAAATTTCGATCAAGATCTCAAAGATATTGTGGGGTATGATTGCGGCTACACGCTCAGGAATTACCCTGGCAAGAAAAGCGGCACCAGAGTTATTGAGGTTATGACACCTAAGGAGCTTCCAGGAAACACCAGTAACAAGATCCGGGGCAGGATCTTATTGTATTTTGCGGATTCCAAAGAGCTCCAGGACACAATCACGATCGAGTTTTGCATCGGGGTTGTCGAGCGTGCTGCAGGCGCACTGGTTTCGAGTCAGGACGCAGACAACAAGCTGAAGAGGCCTCAAAACTGTCGCAAGCACAGTGAGAGATTGCTTGGGGATTCTGTCAGCTTTGAAGGGAGCGACTGTGCCGCAACCCTAGGACCAGCCATCAGCCTCGGCGGCTGTGATGGCTGGATTGTCAACTGGCATCTATTCCATGGTATTGAGAATTGGGAAGTTCTGGATAATCCATACCCGGTGCCGCTCCACGGTTTGTTCCACCCAGCCTACATTGATTACAACGAGGACGAGGGACCATTACAGATCGGTGAGCTCCAGGCTTACTCAGGACGGATGTACAGAACAACTCGTCCATCGAGATCTCTAAGACATTTTGCGCCGAGCGTTCGAGGAGAATGCGAGCCAAGTATGCAAGTAGTTACGGATTGGGCCTTCTGCAAAGCCAACAAAGATGAAGTCCAGAACTGTCTTCGCTATGCACCATCGGGTATCGAGGTTCATGATCGTTCGGACCCGATACCAGGAGCCTTTGTGCGACGCCCTCAACTGCAAATCATCCAGACAACTGGCCGAACTAGTGGATTCCGATATGCTGTGGTATGCGAAACACCGGCCAAAGTCCGCCAATACCCACATATGCCCACCAGGGAATGGTGTTTGATGAACCTCGAAGATCTCATGCCGGCCGAAGAGTGGAATTCTGAGGGCCCTGGTGTGTGCGGTGACTCGGGTGCGGCCGTGGTGCACGATGAGACGGGGGAACTCATCGGGCAAATATGGGGTCGAAATGTCTACGAAGGTCACTGGCAAACTCCCAGGGTGACATATTTCACACATCACTGGGACATTTTTGACGACATCAAGGAGAGATATCCCACTTTGGAGGGCCCGTCCCTCATCCTCAAGCCGAAAGAACATTCCTCAAATAACGTGAATGTAAGAGATGATGCTCCCGGCCCTTCGAGAATCGAAGCCGACGAGAAAACTCTGGGTCCATCGCGGCCACGGAGCCGGGCATGTTCGTCCATGGGCAGTGCCGATGGAGTAACTAAATCTTTCTCTCAGTCCACTCTAGCACAGAGTGTGACTAATTCGGTAGGATCAGGTGAAAGCAAGGCAAAAAAGATTCATGTTGGAAAAGCTTTGGAGGGCGAAATGGAATGCGGACAACGAGACTCTCATTCCCGTAGCGCTGCTAGAACCTCGGCGGATGATGATACGGATGTACTGGTAATGCGACGGAGCTCGGCGATTGTGACCGCTTGATGCTTTTTTTATATCCTTTTTGAAGCTTTTAGATTGCAAGGGTCGGTTTTTCGAGATTTAGCATGCTTCATATCCTTTCATACTTAAGTCAGCTAATCGAGTGCGTTGCTCCATGGGGCATACCTTACATCATGATCCAACTTGAATCTATTGTTGCTGTGCTGATAGCTGTAGTAAGTTTGAGACGCGCACAAGAATGTATTGATTGTGTGGTGTTATTCCTACCTCATCGGATCCGGCGAACTCAACTGATAACTCCCCGACTCCCCGACCCGGAGTGGAGCGCACGGCGTTGCTGGAGGAAGCTTTCGCCTAAGAGCGATGCTCTCGGGAATTTCGGGGTCAAGTTCTCATGTGGAACTGGGTCTCTGCAGAAATTGCACTAGAAATGCCCTGTAGTTGTTGTGGTGTCTTGAGGTACTTACCCTAGGAGCAAATCCGACGTCGAACGACAAGTAGAGGAGGGATCATCCGCGAATCCGTAATTTTAAGCTCGGTGCCCCCCTTATACGAAGGCGGTACCGAAATTGCAGCGTGCGCTAAGGGGGGTTAAACCGAGTAATACGAGAAGATGAACATGTTATTTTGGATACTTGTAGGTTGAGTACCGCAACCCAATTGTCAACTTGAATTCTTTGCTTTGTGCACCGATTCAATACTCTAGCAACTCGCCATGATGAAGGGGTTCACCAATAGCGCCGGATGCCTTGCGTTATTAGCAACGCTGGTCAGCGGGACCATCGCTCTGCCAGTTCAAGATGCGCCGCTGAGAGTTGAGTGGCGATCCCTGTCAAGCGCCGCAAAAGCAGACTACATCAGCGCAGTAAAGTGCTTAGATGGCTTACCGTCAAAGATCGGTCTCGAGACGTCGCGTTACAACGACTTTCCCTATGTCCATGCGCAGCTCAACAACGAAAGTGCGTCTTTCTTATCCAGGCGCGTCAACCTGTGGCATCATGCTAACGAAAGATCGCAGTTCACTTTGTAGCTCAATTCCTTCCTTGGCATCGGTACTTCGTACACATCTACGCGACAGCCTTGAGAGATGAGTGCAAGTACAAAGGCCCAATGACCTACTGGGACTGGACCCTCGACTCAGAGGACATGTCCAAGAGTCCCGTCTTCTCCAACGACACCAACACCGGATTCGGAGGAAACGGCCTGAACGGCGGATGGGTCCCACCGACGCGACCAAACCTGTTGACCATGTGCGTAATCGACGGGGCTTTCGTCAACTTTACCGTGTCTTACTACACCACGACAGCGCTCTCTCATTGTCTGAACCGTGGTTTCAACGATGGCATTGGGGTCAATGCCGGCCTTTACGAAGGCGGCTTGTACTCCCCCGAAAAGATATCAGGGATCATTGAAACCTCTGGTAGCTTTTCTACGTTCGCGACCGCTCTGGAAAACGGGCCCCACGGTGCGATTCACTCAGCTGTAGGAGGAGACTTGTTCCCTTCGACATCTCCAAACGGTAAGCTCTCACCACCTACGTTATTCGGGCACCTGAAGACTTACAGACATCACAGATCCCTTATTCTTCCTTCACCATGTGCAAATCGATAGACTTTGGTGGCTCTGGCAACAGGCTGATCCCGCAAGCCGGACGTTGGACTTTTCGGGTCGGAGGAATCTGCCCTCAGGGGAAGTCGATACCCGGCCAGCGTCTCTCAACGACACGCTTCCAACGCGTGGCTTGGCGGTCGATATTCCTATTCAACAAGTTATGTCAACAACGACAGATTTACTGTATTATAAGTATTAGTGTACATATTTTGACCACTACTTTGGGGACACCTGTTCGAACTGAAAGCATTCCGGCTCTTAGTGTTCACAGCGCTTCACTATCAGCTGCTCTTGTAGGGTTCCTGCAGGAACCACCGCTAATCATGCAGCCACAGGGGGCCATTTCTCGAAGGAAATGGAAGAAAATAAACTTACGAGATGCCTGAGTATTGCTGCTGATGTGGCTTCGAATTATCCTAACGACATGATTCGCCTAACGTCTTTTGCGTCCCCATCTAGCGCCTAAAGCCACCTAAAGACGACTGGAGGGATACGCAACGTGGCAGCCTAGGAGTGAAAATAATCTTTAACAGGGAAACAGTCCGCATGTGACCGATGCGCTAAAGCAACAGAGCTGAACCACCGCAGCCATTTGACAATTCTCCCCATAGCTGTGTGTCAGGGATGTTGATGTCAGAAACAACTCTGCAAAGGTGCATAACTCAGGACATCAAGATGATCTGCTCTTGTTGTCACCACGTTCTCGAGCTCAAGGAAGATTACGCGTTGATCAGTAACGAGCGAGATGGGGAAGATCCCCTCACAACACATCACCGCGATGGCAAAAGTCTGACGGCCGCTGCGGACGCCGGATGTTACATTTGCAATCGCCTTTGGGCCGCTCTGGATATGGAAGAGCGATGTCAGGTCCGGCATTCAGTCAATGAGCCGACGAAACGCGAGGCTCCAGCGACCGAGTCACCTCTCACGTCGGTGTTTTGGGACGACGGAGCAGCATTTGCTTATCCCCGCGCCGTCTTATTGCAACTCACTTTCGACCAAGGCAAAGTTATGGATCTAGAGAGAAATCCAAGGAAAGGATTCTTCCGCCTAACTATTTTGCTTCTTCCACAAGAGTGTATGTTTACCTGTCGCGAAACAACACTTCAAGATTTCAAACATATGTCCACGGATGTTGATCTTAAACAAAGCCTACGCGCCACAATACCAAGTGAAGTCGTACGCCCGTAGTACGAGATCCGAAGAAACCTTCCGTGTCGCAAAGGAATGGATTACAGAATGTATAGCCGAGCACCCACATTGCGGTGCCAAACCATACGCATCTACCATTACGCAGTGGTACCCCAGTCGCCTCCTGGACACCGGACCTCTAGACCAGGAGAGCTCAAGTTGTCGGCTCGTTCTACCGAACGTCACCCCTATCCAAGGATCCTATGCAACACTCAGCCATTGCTGGGGGCTGAAGGGGTCTTTCAAACTTACAACAAGCAACTACGCACAACTACAGCAGGTGATCCCATTCAACACTCTCCCTCCCTTGTACCGCGATGCCATTGAAACCAGTCGCCGCCTTCAGATTCGATACCTGTGGATAGACTCACTGTGCATTATTCAGAACGGTGATAACTTCACTGATTGGAAACAAGAATCAGCGCACATGGACAAGATCTACTCGGGATCTTTCGTCAACATATCAGCGGCCGATGCACCAGACGCGAATCACTCCCTCTTTCACGACCGCAATCTGGATGCCCTATGTTCGCAGACTCTAGAGCTTCCTGTTGGCTCCATAACTACTCGCTTCCTCCTATTGGACTATAACTTCTGGAGGACTGAAGTTTCCAACGCAGTCATCAACTCAAGAGCCTGGGTGCTTCAAGAGAGACTCCTCTCTCCAAGAGTGTTGTACTTCGGTCAACGACAAATTCTATGGGAGTGCCAGCAAAAGGAAGACGCTGAGATTTATCCCGAAGGCTTGCTGATAGACCTATCACGATTTCCTAGTCGGTTCAAGGGCTTTGGCTACAACCAAATTGGCTGGAAGCCCCGAGACCATGGCGATCTTTCAAAGTATCAATACTGGTGCAACATTGTGAATGCTTACACCAGGGCCAAGTTGACATTTTCCGGCGACAAGTTGATTGCACTGTCAGCTGTCGCGAAGACCGTGAGAGAGTTACTCCAAGATAGCTATGTTGCAGGGATGTGGCGTCGCTATTTGGAGCGGGAATTGATGTGGTCTGTCGCTGTCGGCGATGCGCAAGCTAGGCCATCAGTCTACCGAGCCCCAAGTTGGTCTTGGGCGGCGGTAGATGGACACATCACTCCGGGTATCATGGATATCGAAGCAGTGGAGATGTTGATCGAGGTACAGGATCTACATCTCGACTGTGTTACAAGCGATACAACAGGCCTGATCAGCGGTGGATGGCTACAGCTCTGGGGAAGTCTCAAGAAGCTTGAGCTTCTGCCCGATGCCTTATTCAGCAGTCACAGCAACAACCATGAGTTCTTAATGATGGTTGTCAATGACGTTCCGGTCAGTGTCCGCGCCGATTCGGTCATGAAAGAATATCAACCACACGTCTATCTCGATGACAACCAGCAATGGGTCAGCACACAGAACCATCGACCGGAACTATTCTGTATGCCAGCGAGAACAAGACCAGGCAATGACGGAAGCATCTATGTGCTATTGCTGCAGCTCGAAGACAGGAAAGACGGCATCTTTCGTCGCATTGGGATCGCCCGCGGTTGGGGCATGGAGTTGAGAGAGAACTTGCTAGTAAGCAATTCAGAAGAGAGTACCTTGCCATGCGTGAAGTATGAAGAAGGTCGACACCTAGTTCGTATCGTTTAGTTGGGCGGGGCATCCAAGACAACTAGGCGCTGTTTACAAGACGAAGCAACAAGAGTCAAGTACGATATTTAGGGCCTCATAGACTTCCGAAACAGAAAATGAAAGGTATAAGTATATCACCATGTCAAGTGATAAGTCATGAATAATTGCGCTTGTCGGTCCAATTTCAAGTTATCGAATGTTGGTGTATGTTGGCTAAGGTGGCTCCAGTTGTCTTAAGTCGAGAGTTTCTGTCTCAATTTGTTACAAGACTCTTAATGATTAGCTTCGAGTCAATTGCCACAACTAAGATATATAGATGTGCGTTGGAAGTCTACCCAATGAGATTTAGCCATACTACTTTACTCAAGTGCCGACGCAGCGGAGTCTGCTCAAATCCACAGAGTGTGAAAGAAGGCCTCTCAACTACTTGAGGGTAGCACGCACAACAGAATGCATGGATGTCACTCAAATCGATTGACGAAAATAAGGCACTTATTTAGAGTTGATCTAAGCTGGGGCGGACGCTGCACATCAGCGGGTATTCGAGGTTTTAGCGCACGAAACAAAAAAGACAGCCCGTCGGCACGTCTCGGTCCAACAACTGTCGCAATCCCACCCCAGCGAGCACGACATCAACGAAATCCCTTTGGCTTTCCTCTTTCTCATCACCGGCTCACTTGGCACTGCAACGACGCCGCACCGCAGCACAAACGACCAGGCCCCCCTCGATTCACTCCACTGTTGTCTTAGTTGGGGTCCCCGGGCGCTCACCCAACTCCAGAGGACCGCCAAGCAACTTGCAATAAGGGCCGTGTTCAAATGCTCCAAACGACCTTCCATAACTGGAAGGCCTTTGGACTTAAGTCACTGAACCTCTGGCTGCCCTCGCCGCTGCCCAGACAGCCCAGCCTGCTGACGCTCTCTTGGCAGCGATGCTCATCTCACTTGGCCTGGCCATTCCAAGACAGATACGCATTCTCAAGGTGTAGAAAAGCACTGATAACTGGCTGAAGCTATCCTCGCGAGCTTGCCAGCATTTATGACGATTCAGCCTCAAGAGGCAGCTCAGGGAGCTTGAGAAGCTATAGCGACCGTCACCTCGTATTAAGAGTGTCATCCACGGCGGCACATACCCCCGAGACCACACCCATGCTCGATTCCTTCTGGAAGCACGCAAAGTTTGTAAGATTTGGCTGGTTGGAGTGGAGCCACGGAGTTGGCTCATGAGGCTATTTTGTGGTTTCCGCGACATCTGGTTCGTCAGAGCTACAGGAACCCCCCAATGTTCATTAATATTCGAACCTCGATAGGTCGCTTTCATTCATCTCGAGTGCTCTTTCTCTCGCCCGTTTACTCCTTGGTATCCCGCCGTGCCGCCCTCGTGGTACCAGGCAGCGAGTCGGTTCGCAGGTCGAACCTTGCGTGACGTTACAGTGCCATGACGTGCGGGGGCATCTCAGCAGCAAGGCCTGGGATGATCACTTTCACTGTTTGTCTTGGGTTCCAGCGCAGCAACGCAGCATTGCAGACAGCTACCTGCTGCAAGGCAGGGACACATATATAGCTCCCGCCGGCCTCTCGAAGATGAACCCGCTTGCCGATCCGCTTGTGTTAGCTTCGAGCTCTGCACATTCTCTCGTTGGAACTCCTCCCGGCAGTGCTTGCCAGCACGTGAAAGCTGTGTACATCACAGGAACTCAAGTTCGGCCGATTCTCGCTTCCCGCGCCGACAGCAAGCTATGGGTTCACCACTCAAACACGATCACCATGTCGGGGAGGACAGGCACGTCGTACGGGACGACGCTTCTGGGGAAGAAGTAGGAGTGGTTAAACAGCAGGAAGTCTACGCCTTCGATGAGTCGCGCAAGATTGGTGTTACAGGCGCGGTCTTCCTCATCCTGAACAAGATGATTGGTACCGGTAGTAAGTAACAGACGGTCCATCAAGAAGCACGGTAGACTTACACTTCGTTTCCTAGTTTTCTCAACTCCTTCCGGTATCTTCCAGTCGACCGGCTCAGTCGGCGTCGCTCTCATGCTGTGGGTCATCGGCGGTGTTCTGACCTTCTGCGGTATGAGCGTTTTCCTCGAGTTCGGGCTCGCCATCCCTCGATCCGGCGGCGAAAAGAACTACCTCGAGCGCGCCTACAAGCACCCCAAATACCTAGCGACCTGCGTGCTCGCTTCGCAGATGATTCTCCTCGGCTTCTCGTCCGGAAACTCCCTTGCCTTCGGCCGATACATCTTATTCGCATCAGGATCCGAGTCCCCGGATGGTTGGACTGCCCGTGGTATTGGTATCGCCGGCGCCACCTTCGCCGTCGGCATCCACGCCATTACACCTAGATGGGGTATCCGGCTTTTCAATGTTCTCGGCGTTTTCAAGGTCATCGTCCTGCTCTTCATTGTCTTTTCCGGGTTTGCTGCACTGGCCGGCCGACGTCGCGTGCCAAACCCCCACAACTTTGATAATGCTTTCCGCATCGAAGAAGGAGAAGGCTACGGCAATGGGGGTGTGTATGGATACGCGACAGCTCTGCTTCGCATTATCTACAGTTACAAGGGTTGGGAGAATGCCAACTACGTCGTGGGCGAGTTGAAGAACCCGCGCAAGACTCTGGCTATTGCTGCACCCCTGGCCATCGGCGGCGTGACGATTCTCTACGTCCTTGCCAATGGTAAGTTAACTTTACCATTCAAAATTTGTGTTGCCCTTTACTCTTTAACTAACTGACGTCTCTAGTTGCGTACTTTGCCGCCATCCCTAAAACCGAACTCGCCACGTCTGAAGTTATTGTCGCGGGTGTCTTCTTCCGCAACGTTTTTGGCAACAGCGCCGGTGCCAGAGCTCTTCCAGCATTCGTCGCCATCAGCAACTTGGGAAATGTGCTTGCCGTCAGCTTCGCCCATGCTCGCTTGAACCAAGAGTTGGCCAAGGAAGGCCTCCTGCCATTAAGCACATTCTGGGCATCCAATAAACCTTTCAATGCTCCAGCTGCAGCCGTACGTGCTCCAGAATTCCATTCAATTTTCTCCAGCTGACTTTTTTTTCTCTAGCTTTTTCTTCACTGGATCGTTACTGTCATTGTTCTCGTCGCGCCTCCCGCGGGGCCTGCTTACAACTTCATCACAGATCTTTACACGTGCGTCTACTCATACCCCAAGTTGATCAACGACTATTTGCTAACATGGAAACAGATACCCTGGCGCATGGATCAACGCATTTGTTGGAATGTAAGTTATCTTGGAAGATTTCTTCCACTTTGTTGGTCACCAGCTAACATTACAACTAGTGGTCTCCTTTACCTTCAGTGGAACAAGAGAGAAAACTGGACCTCACCTTGGCACACCTACTTCCCCATTACCATCCTCTACGTTTTGGCCAACGTGTTTCTCTGCATCGTTCCTTTCATCCCACCCACGGGATCGTGGACCGCGGAAGGTTACCCGTACTACGTCTTCCCCATTGTTGGCGTCGGTGTGCTCCTTCTTGGTGGTGTATACTGGGGTTTCTGGACCAAGATCTTCCCCGCTATTGGCGGCTATAAGGTCGTGGCGGAAAGGACGTACGACGAGGAAGGTCACGAGGTTATCCGATACCGCAAGGTCAGCACGAAGCACGGCCACTCAGGGCCGATTGATTGAGTTCCTAGGCCTTTACTGAGCTGCATTGGTTAAAGCCTTGTTCCGGAAAAATGTTGTCTTTACAAGCATATACCCAAATATGAACCCTCGAATGTATCCAAAGCTTAGTAGATCGTAATCATTTTGATTAAATACCGGCTGGTATTCTGAAATCGAGAATTTTGATTACTAGGAATGATCACGGGCAAAACGATTCAACACCTAAAGGCTTGAAGCATCGCAATACATGTGAGGTGACAATGAGGATAGAATTTAATGATGGATCTGAAAATAAGCATGAGGATGTGTGATTGTGTAACGGGTCCAAGAAAGGTTAAATCTGTTATTTCAAACACTAATCACACAGATCCCAATAGGCTGATTCCAACGCCGCGCAGTCCATAGAATGATTTGTGACAAGAAATTACTCGAGGCGCTTATCCTCCAGGCCCTCGGTATCACCGGGCTCACGATACTCGCCAGTAGGCTTAGCACCACGGGTACGGCCCTCCACGATGTTGCTCTTATCGATGGCTTCCTTGTCATCACGCTCTACAAAAATGTCAAATACTCATTCTACATTCAACAAGATGCAACATGGACTTACCTAACTGAGCATCAGAGTTGGCAGTCTCGGCATCGATAGGATCCTCGACCTTGGCATCGTCGCCGAGGACGCCAATGGGCTCGCGATCACCCTGTCGGGACACGTACTCATTGTCCTGAACATCTCCAGTGGGGGCTTCGGAAGACATGATGATGGTGTGTAAGCCTGATTGTACTGATGGAGTTTGTCAAAGCTTTGTAACGTGATAGGTTGTGAACTAATAAGATATGATTTTTGTTGTTGATGTTGATGGATTGCAATTATTTCTCAACTATTCAGCGCCCTTTCCTCGGTTCATATACAAATCCCTCTTCACTATCGACAATGGGCATTGCGCTCTAAGCTGCAAACACCATAGTTACGAATGTTGAGATCACCGTCGAGCTTACAGATTGTCTGTAAGTCTATGACGCTGTCATTTACGCGTAGAAACGCGCATCGAAGGGGCCCCGACCTCCCTGGGGCATAAACACCGTGCAGAAATCAATTAAACCGACCTGCACGAGACGTGGAGCAAAGTGTCCGATGGCCCCTTGAGCTAACGGCGCCACGTTTGATTGCGGCAAGCATCTCAAAGCGATGGTCCAGCCGCTTGGCGCGGGTTGATAGATCTGCTTTGGTCTCATGGAATGAGAGAGCCTATGGCAACGAGCGCCAGCCGCCTCATTAAGGTGCCTTGGCATGGGAAAGTGACCAAAGAAGACTACTATCCGTACGGGTACCGGTAGTCACCTTCGCTTCAGCCTCGTTCCTGGGTCTCAACCCCAGCGATCGTCCCTGATCGATCGCGTGAAACCCGATTGGACAATGGACGAGATTCATGATGCCTTCTGGACTCGGCGGGTTCCCCAGCCCCTGGCTTTATTTTCGGTGAGTGCGGGGACTGCAACGGTGGGGGCTGATATCGTGCTATCACTCTCCAACATCTTGAGCTCTGTGACTCGAGTCCAGTTCAGTATTCCCTTTATATGGAACAGAAATTGGCTATTAGAGAGTGTCAAAAATCATTTCTGTCTTACAACTGACTCATTCATAGCCACTTAAACTTGACGATTGGCCTTACCAAAAGCTCTTGTCATAGAGGATAATCATGGACGAATCTGCTCACCGAGATCTCCAGAGGCCTAGAACTCACTGAAGACCTCACCGAAGACCTCACCGAATTAAACTCCCTGCGCACGATCGGTCTGACATCATGTCGTGTTTCGCTCCAGTGGGCAACAGAAACGGGTGCGCGGGCTGCATCATATTGACGTCTCCCGTCGCCCCAACACGCCTCAGCTCCATACCGAAACAGCAATGATCCTCGGTCGTCTCAAACTCTTACATCACCCCCCTTCACCAAAAAGCAACCGGGAAACTCTGGGGCGAGCCTTGAAAGCAAGATTCAGCCTGCCGAGTCGGGTACCAAGTGCCAGCAGAACGAGTGCCCAGTGATACAAGGTTCCCCCGGTGGTGTGAGTTCCAGTGTTCAACAGCAAGCAAATTTGCTATCTCATAATCAGATAACTCCCCACTGACAATGCTGCCTTTACTTCCGTGCTTTGATTTCTTCCTTATTCACACAAAACATTTGGATGATCCACGACAATAATACCAAGAATTCTGACGTTCCACAACCGTCCTGTTCTTCCCCACCCTGGCTCTTTCAGCACTTCTATCGATCTGATCGTGCATTTCCAGCTCCCGGGCGCTACAAAGTCAACTCGTCACTATCCGGACTAGAGAGGGACCAAAGCGAGCGGCTTCATCGGTAGCCTGCGTCTCCGCAACGCCCCCGCGTCCCTAGCCTTTCCCTTTCCGGCCTCTCTCGAAGAAAGACCAGGCACATCCCACGTGGTGATCGTGATCCGTATCAGATTCCGCCCGTCATGCCACGCCAGGAACGTCACCACAAAGAGCGCGTTGTCTACGACGACGACCCATACTATGACGACTACGAGCGCCCAAGGGCCTCGCGCCGCGTTTCTCGTAGCGCCCATGAGTACGAGGCCGGCGGTGGTCACCGGCGCAGCACTCGCCGCCACGATTCCTACAGCCCCGTCGGCCCTGTCCGCGCCCGGTCGGAGAGCTATGGTCGGCCCCCTGCCCGAAGGCACGATACGTACGCTGAGTACTCCGACAGTGGAGATGAGAGACCTCGTCGACGAGGCCATGGGCAGAGCAGCAGCCGTCGGAAGGACAGTAAGACGTCTCGGTCTTCGAGGGGACCTGAGCGCAACGACTCCGACAAGGCGGCGATCATACAAGCTGCTGCTACCGCCGCCGTCGTGGCGGGCGCAAGTGAGGCCTGGAGGATGAGGAAGGAAAAAACGTCTTGGTCTCAGAAGGGAACGAGGATGGCGACGGCTGCGGCGGGTGCTGCTGCCATCGCGGCTTTCAACAACAATACCAACGGGCAGCATGGCTCAAAGGACGGCGGTGGGAGCAAGAAGGATACCATCCAGGCTACGTTGGGAGGCCTGCTGGTGAACCGACTGGCAAATGGGGTGGGCAAAAAATGAAGGAAAAGATACCAAAGAGGACAATGGCATCGGTGGACAGCGCGATAACAACGAAAAGCTCCCTCGTTGCCGATATATGAAGGGCTACGAGATTTATGATTATTTAGAGATGTCTTCACGACGGGTAATGGATACCAGGAGTTCGGTACTTGCTTTGTTTAATTACACTGTATATCTCGTGCGACGACTTTCTTCACATCTTGCTCGCACCTCGATAGCGACGTCCTTGACGCATTCCTCAAGTCGCAAAATTTCGTGTTATTGTTACTCTCACAGAGCATATATCACGTTTCTAAACCTTGGTTGCTCCCGTTTGCCTGGAAGATAGGTATGCAGTCCCTGTTGCGGTGTCTATGGGTTTCGATCGTGAGTTCAATTTCGGCGTTCAACTTGCTAAGGTGTGCGCCCACCATCGAAATCTTCGTCTTAATTTCAGGCATCCATGTGAAGCTAACGCTGTTCACTGATTCGATCTCTGGGTCTCAGCAATTCGCCAGGATGATGCTGCTCTGAAGATCAAACTCAGGATCACCGGATACGGGGCCGACGAGAGTCCATCAGGTAAACGATACACTTGATTGGTCACACAGGGATGATGAGGGTAGTGATACTATCTTTCAGATCACCTGGACAAGGATGAGTATTAGTTTCGGTAGATAAGATCGGAATATGGAAACAAGCTTTGTTCCAGGAAGCCAGAAGGGTCCAGGTGTCTTACGTGCTGCTTCTGGATATTATCATGGGAATGTGGTCTTGAGTAGATGACCTAGACTAACACAAAGCATAATTCGTACCAAGTTCTGAGGGTTGTATACGCTCAATATGCGGCTCAGCAACATTTGCTCTTCTGGTTTCCGAGGCGATAGTATTTCTGCTAGCCTCGATATCAGCTCAAGGAGTTCACGAAGAAAGCGAACTGCACTGGATTCTGACCCGTCACATCTTAAACTGCTCAAGTGGACAAAGGGGCCAGCGATTAAGTAAGTAGATATTGAACAACCCCAAAAAGAAATCTGAGTTACTAAAATTATGAGGGTCCCTCTCGTGAGGTGTTTCTCCATTGTCTTCAAGCACATGGGGTCCTAGCCCAACCCTGAGTGTAGCCCGTCATCGACAACTCACCCGCACCAGATTCAACCTCACCCTTCCATCCCATGTCGACTGATCCACCCTTAGTGAGAACATAATTAGCCGCCTGGCAGCGGAGCCACCCGTTGATAGCTGGATGGTTGCACTCGGCGTGATCCATGAGAGCGTTCTTGAGGTTCATGACCTGATTCAGAATTTTCGAGTGCTCTTGATGGAGTTCTCGATTGCGAGCCTCGGCGGTATCTTTGGCTGATTCGAGGTCGGCGCTGTGCTGCTTCTGCTTCTGCCAGTTCCGGGCTGACGCTCGCCTATGACGTTCGCGGCCGAGTGACGGTGGCTGCATGGCAGGAATGGTACTATGGCGCCTCTGCAAAACTGGCCTGCCAGGCACTTGGTGAACTTTCTCGGCTTCATCGTCGCTCGGCTTCCTCTTCTTATGCGGAAGTGCACGGTCCTGGTTGACTTCTGGTTCGCCCATTCCTTCGCTAGAAGCGAAGCTATGGCGGCCTACAGTCTCGCCACTCGTAGGAGATTCAAATCCGAAGGATGAGTTGATGCTGGTTGGAGATTGTGTCGCAGATGGTAGCGAATAGACATTGGGCAGGCCTGACTCTATCAAAACGGGGGCATTAGAATAGTCCCAGAAATTCGAATCCATGCCAGAGTCTAGAGGGAAGTATGTTGTTGTAGGTTGGAAATTATTTGAAGTCCACCAGTCGACAGAACCGAACTCTACGGTGGGCTGAGTCCTGCAGAGGTTTCCGTGAAGTGCATTTGCATCCACAGGTACCGCATTTCCGTCCATGCTGTTAGACCCTGGAGTACTAGAGCTCGAATCTCTGTTGTTGTAGTAAGTCATATCCCTCGGCGATACCGGCACGTCGAACAAGTTGGTAGAATATCGTCGTGCCATTGAGTCGTAGGGTTGGATTCCACGCCATGAAGGGACTTGGTAAGCTACAGGTGTCTGGTCGTGGACGCTTTCTATAGGCTCGAAAGGTGAAGTGATAGAGTGGTTGAGCTTGGTATCTAGTGAGGTGGTCGGTAGAATTGAATGTAGTGTCATGAGCGGTTTGTCTGCTTCATTGAGGTTTCGTTCAACTATCAGAGCATCCGAGGGGAAAAGAATATTGCGGCTGTCGATACTTCCGTGAACCGTATCAAACTGGTCGCCGTAGTCCAAGTAAGTTTGATTGGGCTTTTGACTTGGGGTCGTAGAGGCCTCCAGCACAGCGCCAGGTTGATCTACAACAGCTGTTGGTTCTTGGAGTCCGGTTTGTAACTTGTCCCGCGGTCGAATGTCGTAGTTGTACTCTCCTCCACTGGAAATACATCTTGAGCAAGGTTGCCCGCAATCGCACTGTACTCCAGTTAGACTAAAGCCAAGAGTGAACATGCGGAGCCTGTCTGGAAACTTACCTTAGTCCTCTGTTGTCGACGAATCTCGCAAGCTTCCTTGGCAAAGATTCCTGGTTTGCTGTGGTTTCTGCACTTCGGTGTTTGAACGGTGCTGGCCATAGCCTACTTCTACAAGTTAGAGACGTTCGTGTCAGGCAACTTCTAGGTGGGTAATGACTTACAACAGCAGTCAGGTCGATCCTCCCGAAAGGATTCGGTGTATTTGTGATCTCCCAGTCGTTTCGATTGAGTCCGCACCGTGTCCAATGATTTACCACAAGAACCTGACAGTGTGGCGTCTTGCTATCAACCCTCACATTGCCCCGAGAGTCATGATGATTGTGGGGTTTTAGCGGAAACATTCCCCATTGCCCGCCGACATGGACTTTTCGTGGTTTTATGAAATCCAGTGTAGGCGTTGAGAGCTAGTTGGCTTGGAGCCAACTGCCTGCCTGCCCGCCTTAGGGTTAGCTTAGGCTGCTACTTCTTGATGTGTGTCGCTGCCATGGGCTCACAGGCTTTCCTTGCAGAGAGGAGCAGCTCAGAAGACCCTTGCTCCCAACGCGGATGCAGCCGCAGGTGCACAACCGTGGAACCATGCCATGCAGTGAGACGCTGCTTTTGCTGTTGGTGACATTCAAGCTCCCTGATGTACATGTAGCGACCTTCAGGTATTGACAGTTGGTGTCCAGACAGAGATAAAAACTGATCTTGTAGTCTACTACAGCGAACATGAAGCCTAGCCAGATCTCCCTGAAGTGACAGTTTGAGCGACAGATCAGCCGCGGTGAATCATGGGCTCGCATTCCGGTGCGCGCCCACCAGCATAAGTCACCCTCACACTAGCAGTGACAATCTCCAGCTTGAATGTTGAGGGGGCAATAGCTCTATGCACTACGGAGACATGTGCCTACTCTGGGTGGTTTGAGGGAGGGCGTGGCATGTGGTAAACGACGAAGAAGTGGCAAACTTGGGCAAGAATGGGGTTCAATCGGAAAGTCAGGAGAGCGATCTTGGTGCATTTCGCATTTCCAATGCGATCACTACAATTTTTGAGAGCACAAGGAGGAACGGAAGAGTCTAGACCTTCCTCAAAGACCACTCACAATGGTCTTCAGGCTAGTTCCATCTATGTAAGAGTGCAAGGGACAACATTGTACTAAGAGGTACTGGAGCAGGGACAATGCCGCTCTACGCAATCGTCTCAATGTCGAGAAAGAAAGTCTGGCTACATTCCAGACCATTCATGGAGACATCTCCGAGGAGGATCTGCAAGACCCTTGAGTCCGGAATGGTCTCCGGTACTGGTCATTGGCTCTTCTTTCTCGGGGTAACGGCGGTGACATGCATGGGCGACAAATAGAAATGGTGATCTGTCTAATTCGAGGAATAGATAAGCACCCCTTTGGCCCCCTCCCTTCCAGCCCCCCGAAACTGCAGGTCTTTCCTTTCGGTCAACAGTTGGTGTCGTACAAAGGGTTGGTGGATACATGCATACAGTACTGAACAATTGGCTTCAGCAGGTAACATGAGGGGTCAATGTCCCGCTCTCCTCCATGTAACGGACTCTGTTGAGTTTATCAGCATCGATCCATCAACCAGACATCCATCACCTCTATGGAATACCATAGACTAAGTAAGTACTTTCACTGCTCCGGACTACAAGGTATTCCAACCCAGGAGTCCATGGTGTACAGACACTGGCAGCTGTTCAACGGCATATCGCCTTACCCGAGCCCCTATTACATGCGTTACCAGCTATGCGATGCGGTAATGATTGTTGCACCAGAATCATCGGGGTTACGGCTCAAAGTTTAAAATAGCGAGATCTCATATCTTTCGCGCTTGGCAGCTGCGATCCTCTTTTCCTGGTAACAGCAGGCGGAAGTTTTCTGGCTATCCTGATGATCACTTTTAATCCACACCAAACAAATCAAATTCATGCTGTCTCAGCCACACTTCCTGCGAATGGTCCTTAGTGTACGCATGCAATCTTTATCGCTCCTTGGGAACCCCATAGACACCTAATTGAATGGTCTCCATAGGCAACGTGTGCAGCGGTCGGTGGCTGGCTGGAACTTCATCAGCTTTTCCCCTCGTCTCAGTGTCTCACAAGGCTACATGTGGCTGGGACATGGACTGATATAAGCTTCGGTAGGTACATTCACTAGGCAACGGGACATCGGCAGTTGAATTATGTAGTTGTGTGGTATGTAGATCCTGGTCACGAAGATGGCGATATCTTCTTTTCCCTCGGTGAGGGCCATGTTTGAGTCTTGAACTGGAATACTGACCTAGCTGGCAAGAATCAGAACTACAAATCTTGCCAGCCTTTCCTAGATACTAGACCCACCAAAGTTGAGGCCGTGTCTCTGGATGTTGCAAATTACAAACCCACGAGATCTCCAAAGAGATACACAAATTGTGGTACCTACTTGGTCGAGCCGAGGGTTCTCACGTCAACCTGGCTGGTAGGATCGAGCTTACATCGCGCATAGCATCCCTGAAGCTTACTGGGCGACTTCATATCAGCTAAGTTAACGCATCGACAGTGATACATGGACAAAATGATGCAAGCTAGCCACCCGGCCTATTGGAACACGGTGTAGGATGCCGTCCCTCAGGCGGTGCGGTCAGACGCCACATATGTGAGCATCCCCCTCCCCACCATTCTGGCACCGCTCCTATGCCGACATCAGCTATCGGGGTCGGGGTTGTCGCCTCTGATAAATAAACCCCTCTTATGGTCCTCCAATCATCCCCAGCTACCCTTACCTAGACAGCCACCATCTAGCCATAAAGCCTACACTGTCTCATGTTGATCCCATTCTTTCTTGCTCCAAGATCCACTTACATACACATGCGCAAGGAATGCGAACCGTCTAGCCGGCGCCGGGTCCAGACCAGTCCAAAAGTCGTGCTTGCTGTCGCCATATTCAAGTACGGATTCTTTGAAACGACGAGCCAAAGAACAGAAGTTTCGATGATTCAAATTGTGGCAAAAGCAATGTGTCCACGTGAACTTTACATCAAAATCGTCTCGGGCATGCATGCTCTACGCGAGATCGGGTTCAATCTCCTTAATGGGCGTATCTAGATTGAGTTACCGAGGGGAGGGCCACGACACTAGTTTATTCAAACTGTATTATCGTACTTTTGGCTCACACGAAGTCCAATCTTGGACTTCCTAGGCAACATGATACCTGGGGTTAAATCTCATGAATGTAGCCTAACACAGCAGGCCTGACTGGAACCCCAGATCTTCAACTAGCAGGCTTGACAAATGTTATCAAGACGGAACCATTAGCGCCGGCAGTAATTACGTCAACTATATACCCCTTCGATAAGAAAGGATTCCGTCCTGCCTTAGTTTCAGACTACCAGCAACGATATGGCTGTACGGCCAAGTACCATACTCAAGAGACGATGTTATTGAAGCTTTTCCCTTCTAAGATGTCAATTTATTCATAATGATTGTCTAATTAGATCAGCTGAAGCCTTTATCGTCTAAAGTCGAGTTGAGTCCCTTGCAGAAATCATTGAGTTGCATCCGAAGCGGCCGCCGGAGCAAGGACTAGGGACAGAGTGAGGTCAAATCGGACAGGAAACTCCGGCAAAGACCAAAGCTGCCGGTATATCATCTCTCATATCTGTCTCAAAACTAATACCACACTGGCTAGCCGATGTAGGTAAAAGAGGATCTAGGACGATCACAGATGTACGAAGGCACGATGTATCTTTCTGCCATTATATGTACGTTGAAACATTTACTCATCAAGAATACTTTCCATATTCTCATCAGCTCGCTCAAAACTTCAAATCATTCACTCCAGCGCCCCCTTCAGGCCACGCTAACACCTTCATACCCATCGCTGGCATAGATGCGTCTAGACTGGAACAGCGGTAAGTCCGCAGGCAGCAGCCGCAGCAGTGACGGAGTTTCCGTAGTATTGCCAGACGTTCTGGGCGTTGGCGCACTGCAAGCAGGCATCGTAGCGAGCGATCCACTGGTAGTTGGTGCAGTAGCCTGTCTCACGGGACAGAGTGATGGAAGTACCTAGAGTTCATCACCGTCAGCAA